GTGAACTTCACACTGATAAAGTGTCAGAATAATCCATAATTATCGATTTTTTCAAAGCTTCATTCACTGTCTAGCAGATATATATTTTTTTACATCAATAGATTATAAGAATAAGAATAATAAGATGCAAAATATTGAACACAAGAATCAACAGAGCTGTTTCAAGGAATTTGAAGTAATTGCTCTTGGGGAGAATAAGTGGTCAGCATCCCTAATGTCCAATTTTTTTGGTGTTTGTTTTTATCATTTCTGTCATGATCAACAGCTTTTTTGTTATGTGAATTAAGAAACAACAAAATACGATCAAATTATGCGGGAGCCCTTTTAGGGAGACTTTATTTTTGTGGTTTGTTGTGTAACTGTTGTACTAAATTCTCAATAGATTTTACACAGAGCCAACCAGTAGACAGCACCTGCTCAGAAATCATCTTAAAAGGCTGCGTGCACATGCTGATATATGACGGGTGATAACATTCTGCCATGTTGCATTATAGATGTTTCATTGAATTATACCTCAGACGTCAAGGCCCTGCCATTTGGTGTCCCAGAGGCAGCTGTCTCCATCCATCTATAGATGCGTCTCTGATTTCTTGTGTTTGGAAAACAAACATAAGTTTAGGGTACAATTCCAGCTCTTTGCCTTTTTGTCTGGTAGGTTTAATGTAAGATATGAGGTCTACAGATCCCTTCTGCTTAGTCAATATAAAAGCAATATACAACAAAAGTCAGTTCAGCCCAACAGGCTTAAACTAAAACGATGTATTCATGTTTGATAAAATGAAATTCGTTTTCCATTGGGGTGGCGTCTTTGGTAGCTGCCAAAGAAAATGTCAAAGGAGGCTGTGCTGAAACGGTTAAGTATGAACCACAGGAAGCCTGTTAGGGTGGAAATGACTTGGTAAGGATACGCTGCAGTGTGGACCATTTCCTGGTTCGCCAGTCAGGATTTCCCATTTCTTAGACACAGCCATTGACGCTGCTTTAATTTGTGAGCAGATCAGACTTTAAATTGCCTTTTTGTTTTCTGCAAATTTGCGGCAGTAAAAAAAAAAGAATCATACCAACGTTTATATCTTTATATAGTTATTAGATGGCATCAAAATGTACAGAGTTTATGTAAATAGGCTGGTTATAAATTCCATACTGAGGTGCTGATACAGGGACTTTTTCTTTTTTTTTTTTTCCAGAAATCTTAATGTCATATCATCCAGTGCATGCAGCCTGATTAAAAGGCTAAACACACTGTTTTGCATCTCTTACACTTTCCAAAAGATCTGCGCGTCACAGGGCAGGTAAAGCCTTCAGAGCTTGTTCAAACTAGATCAAATCCAGCTTAAATGCAGTCGTTGGGTTTTTAGTGCTGTCCATACAACAGAGAATAAAATGTCAAATCCCGTGCACATCCGTTTTTTCCATTTTGGCGAAAAATAAGTAAAACCACAATTTGTTGTAAAGGAAATTTCACAGGGTACATCCTCTATAGAAGTGAATGTCTGTAACAGGAGGATCCTTTGTTTAAAAATCCTTGTTTCAGTCCTTTATGGACCTGGTCAGGCTAAAATTCCTCACTAATGACTAATGTTTATCTCTTCCCTTCTTCACCTCCCCGATCCAGCTGCTATTTTTAACATTCTACTACGCAAACTGAAATCTTAGGTGTTGCTGCCTTGCACAGTGAGATTCTTTGTTTACTGTATGATCAGATCAACCTTCTCCACTTCTGCGTACTGATGGGCTCTGTACCAAACAGAAAAGGTAGTCTTCAAGCATAATGTTTGTAATGCTGAAGAATTGCTGACCAGTTCCAAACAGAGACCATAAAGATGTTCTTTGAGCTGGATGACATGTCATCAGTAGATGAGATTATTTTGTTCCAATTTCAGACATGTCATTTTTGGGTAAAGTGGCTTTAGTTGGTCAAAGTTGTCCAAGAGAACTCAAAGACTGCCTTGAGGCTTATTCTGATGTCTAATGAGAGCCATTTCCGGACAAGCCTTTTCCTTTTGTTTACAAGAACAGCCACCCTCTAATTCAGACTAGACGGCCTGATCGTGCAAACTTTGAATTCATTTATTATTGTGAACCAGGCCCAGTGGAGGCTGAATGTAAATCTTTGTTCAAGTGACTGGGCTCCTGGTTAACGCATTAAGTCATGTTCACAAGTTTAGACATTGTTAAACATTAGTGCATCAACCCCATGACATTTATGAGTTGTTAGTTCTGTTAAAACTTTCCTTATGTAAAAAGAACAACAAAAGCTTACCTTTTTATTGAATGTTTTTTGTTTGATTTATTGGATATATAATCATACAAGCATTCACTACATAGATAATTCAGTGTCTCTTCTTAGGCTTCTTTTGAATGACTGAATACAATCTCATCCCTGCCATTCATTGTTTTGTGACAATACCAAGTAAACCAGGCATTTGTGTCTCATTTCTGCTGGTTGATCGCCTCCTTATTTGTGTATTGTTGAGTTGTTAGAGAGTGACATGGTTTTAAATAGGGAAAACAAACCTCACAAGAGCTGTGACAGCATATTAGGTAAGCCTTTGTAGATGTCTGTGCAACAAGCTACATAAACATCACAAACTAATTTAACTAGTCAAAGCATGCAATAGGGAACTGCTGTACGGTTGAAAGGGAAGTCAGGCTGATATTTTCCAGGGTCAGCCACTGTGAGCATTAGTAATTGGATGATATAGCTAGTTTGTGAGAGTGTGAAAAAAGACCCAACATTTCTGAGCTTAAAGGAAATTAGATTCCTAAAACGCCCCAGACAGAGGTCTACCATTGTAAACAAACATCTCAGCTATGAGATCAGTCCAAGGACAAATGTGGAATGTGCTTAAAGTTAGGTCTGTGCCAGGAAGGCAACCAATTTAACCGATTTCTGCCAAAAGGAGATGGAAACATCCAAACAGAACTCTGCCACAGGCTGTCTGATGGCTTCCGAAAGTATCTTGTTAATTCATGTGGATGTAAACCTCTGACAAAAACTCTTCATATCATTGGCTTATTTAAGTTATTGGCAAAAATGGGTCGCTGAAATTAAAATGATATAGAGTTTTTGTTGCTTTCTCTGTAGACCAGCATCATTTCATCAGACAGTCAAGATGCCTTCATGTGGAAGATATTATGTGATGGCATGATAGAATAGAATTCAATGTATTCCAGTACAGCGTATATTTGTGTTATGGGAACTGTTTCAGTTGGTAGCTAACTAATAAGATATTAAAAGAAATGAGTTCATCAAATTGCCCAGGCCTGGCTCCATCGAATGTCATGTAAAAATGACTGTCAGCAGTTGCTATAAACAAATGCTTGGCACGTTGCCTTACTGAAGATATTCTTAGACATCAGCTATGAAAATAACTTGTCCTTTCTTCTTTGCTTTGTCTCAGTCTTGAAAAGGTAGCATCTCAGCCCTTAAAAGTACTCTATATCTCAATCTTGCTTATGAGTTCAAATGAGTTCAGATTTGAACATTTTAGAAGTCTTTTTATAATCCATTAATTTTAGCCTGAACACAAACTCTTCGTTTTCCCTCATGTGCTGCATAACAAGCTCATTTAACAATATCAGGATGAGCGCTTGAGAGATTTGAGTTGCGCAGATTATTTGGTGAACCTCCATTGCAGCATCTTCTCTCTGGTGTCAGCAGAGATAGATTACGATGGGTTGTACTATCACGACACATGTTTTGAGATGCTGAGATTGATGGTTTCAGATTGGCTTGTGTGGGTTAAGTGCTGATGGTGTGTTTCCAGCTCTTATGGAAGAATAGATTAGACTGCATTTGTTTGAGAACATCCACTTGAGAGAGCTGTTCAACAAGTAGGCCAGCATTGTGTTACACTCTTACAGCCTATTTTTTGAGTGCTTTGTTGCCTTGATTTACATTAAAATAGATTGAAAACTGTAATCAAACTGGGCGGTTATATGAGCTGACATTTAGGGTCCTCCTGTGAAGGACAATTTGGACTTGTTAGTTTTTCTGGAGCTCACAACATTATATTTTCTGTAAGTGCTTCCTGCTAGCTATGGTACAGTATTAAACATCGTAACAAATAATACAAGCACAACCTGGTTTGAACCATCCAAAAAACCTGCAAAAATGTGAGGGAGAGCATGTTTTTCATGGGCATTTGTCTATTGTGTGTTGAGCTGTATCTTACATACAAATCACTTGATATTAAAATGATAAGAATTAATTGCCATTTCATGAGGGAGTGCACTGAAGGCTGAGTGCTACACACACACACACGCACACACACACAGCCAAAGGGGCTGATATCCCTGGAGCCATTGCTTGGCATCATCTCCATTCCAGCTTATTACTTTAAAGTGGGAGGTTTCCTTGTTACTAACTGGCTGTTTTGTCGGGACTTATTCAAGAGTTGTGATGCATATTTTTCAAATGGCTGTGGTTTGTGTACCTAAATCTGTGGTGCATGTTCCTTAGGCTGCTTTTCTTGCTCATTTATTTTCTGTTTGGTTTGTCTCTCCAGCAAATTATGAAAGGATACTTTGAAAAATCCTGTTCACTAATAATATCGTCTCTAACAGTTTGTTTCATAGCCTGAAGGTGATTGAACACGGACATTGAACAGTACATATAAATGGAACAGATCTCTTATCTAAACTGTGATGAAGAGAGATATGTGGCATGCTGTGGTAAGGGCCGTAGCTTTTCCTATCAGCCTTTACTGAATATTCTTTTTCATGTACGCTAGCCCGCTAACCCCAGCAGAAAATTTGAATCTATTTTTAGTTCCGTTATCACTCAGCTTTTCAAGAGTAGACTGAAAACGTGCGTTACAGAAGTGCATGTAAACGCCCTGATTGCAGGGACTCGCTCACTTCACGGCCACATATTCAGCTCCTGAGTAAAGTTGACTTTTTTTGAAATTCTGTTGCACCATTTAGTCCTGGCGTCCCCCAGTGGTTTTCTCTGTGGGGACCAGAGAAGCCTGATTGTGCTTTGTGTTTCAGCCCAGTGGCTGCTTGGCTCCTCAGCCATGATTAATTCAGGGAGACCTCTGGAGAGAACAGCCAGGCAGGGTTACCCAGCCAGGCATCTGGTGACAGGCGGCCATAAAGGTGCCGGCCTTCATGACAGCTACAGGCGTTGATCTCTCATTGGCTGTAGCCTAGGCTGGAGTTGGAAGATTTCACCTGCTCCTGAAAAAGAGTGATGCAAATATTCTAATGCTTAGAATGATTTATGGACTTGAATAAATTTCTCTTAGACAAGTTTGTAGAGATGCTGCATTCATCTGGGGCCGTCAGAATTTTTCTTAGTTGATGGAACCCGAGTTAACTGAATTGATGTTTGGATAGTTGCAAGGCATTACACTAAGTAACGTAAGATATTGTTTGTCCTGGTCGGGAGCTAGTAAGCTAAGTTCTTTACAAACGGTACCTCACAGCTGGAGATCCAACAAAGCAATAATGCAGTGCACCCTGAACTCTCCCATCTGTTTGCACAGAGGGACAAACTGGGTCCACAATCAGCCCCATTATAGTGAGATGCGAGGCAGGTGTATGTCACTGCGATGTGACACGAGGGCCATCCTCATATTAGCCCGGTCTGTGTCACCCCGCACTCGGATGAATCTGATGGATGGATGGCTGGTGTACGGTGTCAGGCTCATAAATCAGTTAATGTGGCAAAATGGCACCCAGCGTTTGGTAATGACAGCACGGACGGCAATTTGAAGCATTTACCACCAACTTCCAACAAGAGGACTTTGTGATTTATGGTTGAGTTGAGAGACAGGAGAAGCAGACTGGATAGCGCTTTTTTCTGAAATATAGTCAATGATCTTGGCTGTTTTATTTGAACATTTTAATCTCAAACATTATTCAAATATGAGAATGTTCTATTTACCTTTTTTTAATATCTACCGTTTTTAATCATGCTGCCTTCTTTTTACTTTTTAATGTGGGTTTAGAAGATGAAGGAATTCTCTTTATGTTTTTGCAAAAGAGTGGTTTGATTAATGGCTTCAGTCATCCAAACTTCACCTAAGGTCTCATACTTCTGTTGAAATCTATTGATTCGGGAAATTATGGCTCAATTTGTTTGGGGTATATGTATTGTAGTTTTCTGTTAAACGATGATGGTGGAAAATGTTGCATAAGAGTCTGTTTATACTTCCGCAAAGGTGCCCATCTGCTTTTCTCTCCGCCCGGCCAGATGGATAGAAGTGCACTATTTCAAAAAGTTAACAGCATGCAATCTGTTAACACAGGGGCTGACAACTAATTTCATAGCAGAGAAGACTTTTGACTTCTCCACAGGAAAGCTCAAGCACAAACATACCGTGCAGCATACATTTAGGATGCAAATCAAAGCAGCAGCACGCCTGTGCACAGCTTTAACACAGAGAGCCCACAGGCACATGAAGTGTGGGGTTACTCATCCCACCATTCATTCTCATCTTTTGTCCTATTAATGTAACATTGTTTTCCTAGAAAAGACGGCTTCCGTCAAGAGAGGAATGATTTGTTTTTCGGAAATAATAAGGCTTTATACTAATTTCCGATGATCCTTCCCTCAAAGGAGAGGAGTAAATCCAATCTGTGTTAGAAAATGCCCTCTAGAGTGTAACAGAGCCACCACATCTCCCCAGTGTTGGGCTCAAAGCATCCGCCACTTTTTCAAACGTTTCAGCTCTTTGGATTTATTGCATGAGTAAGGTTAGGGAATAATGGTGCTTTGTGTTGACAGAAAATGTTTCAACATTTAGCGCACCTCCTTATGTACCTAATGGTGTATGAGGGTAAAGGATAAAGTATAGCATCAGTGTTTTGGTGGAGATACTTGACATCACAGAATAACTACCCGCTCTGTGAGGGAGGCCAAAGGGACAATGGGTTAACTGCATCACAGTGATGTCATCACTTTCTTACATCTTTTGAAGATGTTGCAGAAGCATTATTTGTGTCCTCCTTCCTGACTTCTGCTCCTACACACACACTTGCACCCCCAGTCCTACCTCACTCATTTTAATAGGACATTTTCCATTCCCTGCACGAAATCATACTGTTCTCACAATGAGGGGGTGACTATCACATGTTCATTTTTGTGTCCTGTCACAGCTCTTTATTTTATTAAACACGACAGCATGTATTAAAAAAAAATCAAACAAATGAATAAACAATTTAACGTCAGCAATTTTATTTTCCTTATCTTTATTCTATTTGGCAGGGTTCAGTAATAAAAATGTCATCAAAACTATTCAGAAAAGACAAATTATGACATTTATTGTTCATGCATCCCCCCCCCAAGACACAAAGAGCTCTGCTTGTTTGTCCTTAGACAAACGGTCTCCCTCAGTGTCCCCTGAATAAGCGTCGGCTCTCTGCTCAGGCTGTACAACGCAGCTTTTTGCTGTTTCAGGGCAGAATTGAAAATGCTCCAATTTTTTTGTTCTGAGCTTGTGTCTCTGGTCCAAAAGGAATACCTCTTAAATTGGTTTTATTAACACATTTGAGTGCTTACAAGGCGCATGAAACGGGAAACGGCGCATACATGTGAGTCCATTGTGTGTGCTCTCTTGAATATTAGTGTCCGAAAATTTCTCTAAGCCCTGGGCTGCGTCTGCCAGGCTGTGTCAGATGCTGTTAGGATTCCACAGCTTCCTACAGGAGCAAAGGACTTCTAAAACTCCTTGTTACTTTTGTTTTCTGTCTGGATGTCTGGCTTAGTTTCAACAAAGCGGCTACTTTTTGTGTTTTCTTTTTCTCTCTCACTTTTTCAATTTTTTACAGTGGTAGCCTTCTGTTGCCCAGACATACCAATACACTGATATAAGCCTGTGTCTCTTTCCTGACCCTTAACTCGCTAATATCTAATCACCTTCACAAATACACAGTCATCTGACCTCCATTGAAACTTTGCATCAGATAAAGATCTAAACAGCACATTGTTTTGTTTTGTTCTTTTTATACCTCATGTCCCTTTAATCCTCCCCCACTTAAAAAACCCAACCCTTATCTGTCTTTCAGCTGGTTGGTGGTCAGTTTGACCTGGAAATGAACTGCATCATCCAGGAACCAGAGAGCATTGTGTGCATGGTGGAGCTGCTGGACAAATGCGAGCCCAACTGTCAGGCCGAGATCTGGAGCATCTTCACCGCCATCCTAAAGAAAAGTGTCCGGAACCTTCAGGCATGCACTGATGTGGGGCTGATCCAGCAGGTGCTCCAGCATATTTCCGTGACTGACAGCATGATTGCAGGTACTGGGAATGTTTTTTGAAAAAAAAAAAGCATGTATGAAAGACCTCTTTCAGTGTTTATGGATGTATGTGTTTTTTAGATTTAGCTCAGCCATTCCACTGCGAAAACTGCTTTCAGCCACTTCTTATTTTTGATCTTCTTTACTCTGTAATTATCCAAAGTTCAAGTAAGGGAAGGGAAATAGACCGTTTCCACGTTCAAATGCCAAATGCCTTCTTCACCCTACCGATAACTTCCACTCTTGTCCATAAATATCCCAAATGGGAGTTGAAAAAAGGTGTCGCCTTAATGAGGTCTAACGTCTACACAAAGCAGTTGTCACTTAATGCCAAGTGCTCAGGTACATACCATCCCTTAGAAGAAGAATCTGTCCCCGAGTCCATGGAAGGAATCCAGGCATAAGCCTCCAATCGTGGGTTCACTGAGCATTACTGATTGGAAATTGTGTCAGAAACATGGCAAAAGGCTAATTTAATACCCAATGGCACACACTGCCTTAAGAGCCATGAGAAATTCTAGAGTATTTTTAGTGATTGTAGATATTCAGGAAAAAAACAATCTTGGTTGCTGTCTATCAGCTTTTTAAAGTTAATGTAGCAGCTTGCATATAATGCAGAAGAAAGATGATATGGTGTTTTAATCTTTCAGATTTTGATGGAGAGGAATGTTTTATCTACAAAGGAAGGAAAAGGCTGTGTGTGTGTTTCTACAAAGGAGAACCATTTGTGAAAGAAAATCAACCTAGATTCTTTTCGTTTTTGATGTCTGAAAAGTTATTGTATGTAAAATGTGATAGATGGATGGAGGGCTACTGGTTTTCTTTACAGGCAGTGCTGTAGATTTGAGTTCCCACTGCTTCTGGCAGCGATGTGTAGCTGTTGCTGAAATGTGTCTTTAATTCTTGTCGAGGCGTAGTAATGAATTAAGATTCTAATCCTTTTGCTGTACACTTGTATTCATTAGTCTGAGCTACTTATCTTATACAGTCCTCCCAAGTCTCAAAGTAGCGTGTTGCACATCTGCAAATTGGGATGAATTTATCCTTGGCTCAGTGAACTTTTTCCCACTAGGACAGCTCTGACCTTGAGCGTTTGTGCTGTTCTAGCGGACTGATTTAGCCCAGCAGTTACTAGGAGGCTTAAAGAAGTGTTTGTAATTATATCTACCTCAGGACTGTGCTGGTTAAACCACACAATCATGTCACACATGGTATATTTGCAGATATTTTGACATGAACTGAAACAGCTGATCTTAAAAACACAAACGTTTGGGAGGAAAAAGGATACATTTAACAGTCATCATTGTCATCACCTAAATCTAAATTATAACCCTGTAAATCACTAAATAAAAGGCTCCTTACTGAATAATCTGTTGTCCCGGGGTTCATGGTCATTAATGTCTATCTAATGGGAGATGCAGCAGAGTAACTTCGACTCCTGTGTGTGAAGGCACCAGTTTGTTGTCCTGCTCGCTCTAATTTTCTTTGAAATGCATCCTAATTTTGTAGCTTATTGTAGCTGTGAAATCAGTGTCAGTCTCTGATTCTTCAAACTGGCAGGAGTCGATTCACTCCTAGTGCACATAGCTTGTGCTTTTTACATGAAATAAACATGATGCCCCTCTTTTTTCAGTCATCCTGCGTCTGTGTGTAACATTTAGTCATCTGTCCTTATGTGTGTCTTGCAGACCTGCTGGTGGACATGTTGGGTGTGCTTGCCAGTTACAGCATCACAGTGAGAGAGCTGAAGCTTTTCTTCAGCAAGCTACAAGGGGAGAAAGGCCAGTGGGTGAGTCAGAGTCATAACATGGTGACGGGTCTCGGTTGCTGGGACGTACATGAGGAATGTCCTCGTGGCACTACTGACATCTCACAGGCAGTAGCCTCATCACAGAGTCCAGATGAATCATGTGAGACCAATAAAACGCTGTTCAAAAGCTTGTTTCAGAGTAGAAAGAATAAAATATTGTTTTGTTTTTTAATGGCTGTCATGGAATAAGCCCAAACACATAAAGGAAGCTCTACTGTAACTGCTGATGTAATGCCTGTGCAAATGAAACTGTCTCCAAAGGTATAAGAAATGAAAGGAATAAAAAAAAAAAAAGTCATCTATTAATCACTGACGGTGAAAAACATCCTAAATATAGGTCAAATGTATATTAAGCATGTTAACATGACCCAACTTTAAGAAACTCTGAGATTGTCTTTTTTTTCATGCGCTAATTGGTGTTTAGACCTTTTTTTTTTAATGGATACGATTAAAATGTACTGGATGACTGAGGATAAAAAAACAAGTGTTAGATGGTGTTGAGCTGACTTTTGGCAGCGTAACTGCCTGCGATGACCTGCATATATGTTAAGGGTGTGAGCAGCCTAAACTGAACATTTAAAAGTTAAGAAAAAAAAATGTTTCAAGTGTATATTGTGCTTTTTTTTCCCCTTTAGCCGCGCCATGCAGTCAAGCTTCTGTCGGTGCTTAAGTACATGGCTCACAGGAACGGCCCAGACTCTTTTTTCAGCTTTCCAGGGAAAAATGCAGCCGTGAGTACATCACACAGCCACTCTGACAAGTAGACAATAAGCTGATTGGCATGAAGTTTCAAGGATAGCAGCTTTTAGTCTCCGTTGTTGACCGACATGATCAAATTTATTCATCAAGAGCCAACCTCAAGAGCTTGCATACTATCAGTGCTCAGAGGTCCTGAGATTAATAATTGCTTAAAAATACTTTACTGAAGTGAACTAAGAGAAAAGGCTTCACATTTCTTCATTCCTTTCATATTTGCTTTCTAAGATGCTTTTTAATCAGGCCCCTCAGTTTCCCACGTTATTCTTCTCTGTCCACTTACTACTTAAGAAACCACAAAAAAACTGTGCTTAATGAAATGCAAAGTTATCTCGAAATGAGGGGATGTTTTTAATGATAAAACTATCCATTCCTAAATAATTTTTTTAAACAATTGTTTTTTTCTTTTGAAAAATAAAATATGAAAATATTTTGAACCCATGCTCTTGGTACCTTTAAAATGTGCCCATGTTGTTTAGTTTCAGTTGAACTTTTCATTGCAGTGAAGTATCACAGACGTTTTGCTCATGCTTGCACTGTTACCACAAACACCGAGAGATGCACTGATGTTTTTTCCTCTTCCCACCACAAGTGATGGTGTGGTATGATAATCTCAGGAGCATTATCTAAGGTTTTGATAGTGTGAATACAAAAGTCTCTATCTATTTACTGTAAGAGACGAAGGAACGTAATGAGGTAATTTTTTCCTGGAAGTTTTCCCTCCCACGTCGAGATGTGCTCCATTGCATGTGTATATGGTTTTCTGCTGTCCCACAAAATTGGCACCATAAAAATACACAATAAAAAAACAAAAAAACAACAAAGGTTTTTCTCATGCATAGATTTCCATGACAGAATGTCTTATCAGTCTCAATCTGTGTTTACTTTGAATTCAGCTGTGCCCTAAGGCCTTAAGATCACAGGCATTTGATCATTTGATATAGATTGCAAGGGATTGCATCCCTTGCGTTCAGATATGTCTAGATTATCTAAGTCTTTGTACTGTAGATAGTATAAATATATATGAAGTCTTTGACAATGGCAAAAAATATCCTGATATTTCACAACAATATTTTAGGTTATCTTGTGTCCTTTACATCTGATGTGTTTATTTATTTATTCATTATCATATTTTGTTATTATGTTGGTTTAGTAAGGGTTAGTCTGTTCTCATTCATTAATGAGAAGAATTTCCGACTAACTGTTCGAGCAAATTTATTTATTCTTTTTATTTTGTTTTGGACAGGCAATAGCTCTGCCCCCCATAGCTAAATGGCCATATCAGAATGGATTTACATTCCACACGTGGCTGCGAATGGATCCTCTCAACAACATCAATGTGGACAAAGACAAGCCTTATCTGTACTGGTAGGTGACACAGGAACAATGCAGTGTTGGCTCTTAATATGGAGCTCTCTTCTTGGTTAATCATTTAAAGATGCATCTCATTTTAACGTCATACAGTCAGAAATGGTGCTTTATTTTCAAATTGTGCAAACGAGACCTCAAGTTGTTGAAATTTAAATGATAGATTTTAATATTGCCCCCCCAGATAGAAACCTTGTTTAAAACCTTTTATGTTATTATACTACCAAGGCTTTCAGTGTCACATTTAAAAAGGTCCCTCCAAGATTTGGGCCTTGTTGATTCAGTGAGATGGGAAATCAGTGATCCATTTGAAAGAATCTTTAATGAAATCTCTTCTTAAGCCATGAAGGGATTATTTTTATTCAGTGAATCACATGTCTGGGTGCCATATCACTAAGACACTGAGTTTGATTGGAAGTGTCCTCGAAATTGTGGTTTGTCCTAATTCCCCAGAGAGCCCTTTAAAGTCTAAGATATATGGGACACAAACCACGTTGCTCTTAAATGTAGTCTCATTAAAGATGTACAAATTCCCGCAGAATGAAAGCTGTGCATTTGTTTTTCCCTCCTTCATCTCGTCTCAGTTTCCGTACCAATAAAGGAATGGGTTACTCTGCACATTTTGTGGCCGGCTGCTTGATAGTAACCTCTTTGAAATCAAAGGGCAAAGGATTTCAGCACTGTGTAAAGTATGACTTCAAACCACAGAAGGTAGGTGAGACGCACACGCGCAGGCTTTGTTTCTCAGCCAAATGCTTATGCATGTAAGAAAACACAACTGTGTATAAAGATCACACACAAGCAATCCTAGGGACGTACACAAACACATTGACACACGCTATAAATCTAGACCTCGCAGTAAGAATGAACTGTCACATCTTACCTGACTCGAGGGAAAAGCAGAACTAGAAGACGGAGGAATGAGGGCAGGGGAAGATGGGGATTATCCAACACCGCGTCCTTTTCATTCATGGCTAACTCTGACCATTTTATCCAGAGACACTTTGCCTGCAGACAAATTCAAACTTCCTCTTTTTCCCCTGAGCATAAAAGCCCCTCCTTAGAACAAAAGAATCTCACAAGAAAGATATTTAGTTGATTTTTATATGCTATTTTTAACACGTTCTTTTATGTCTACCTTTTTTTTTTGCTACATTTTTTAAAACTGATTAGACAACTGAGGAGAGAACTAAAATGAAAAGTAGGTGAAATTATGCCTTGAGGGGAATTAGTCCTGAAATGTGATGGGAGTAGGCTAATTGAATGCGTACAAAGATCTCACAGAATGCTGATCTACCCATGTAGCGTGCTTGTGTGTGTTGGACAGGTGCTGGAAAAATCCAGGTAAACACAATGTGGTTTCATGCCTTGTATTTTGTTGCAGTGGTACATGGTGACTCTGGTTCACATCTACAATCGCTGGAAAAACAGTGAAATCAGCTGTTATGTGAACGGAGAACTGGCTTCCTTTGGAGACATGGCTTGGTTCGTCAACACCAGTGATGTAAGTAGCATCGGGTCAATTTAAAATATTCCAGCAGCAGTTGTTTTCTCAAATTCTGATTTCTGTGTAATGTAAACTTGTTTTTGTTTTTTTGGGGGTCATGAGTAATTCTTAAGAGTGTATGAGGATTTTGGGATATCGGATTTTAAACAGAAAATTGACAACAATCCCATTCCTGTGAAGATGAGGCCTCTGCCTGCAACTGGCCAACATAGTTGAGCGTAGAGAGCCAGCTCCGCTCTCTGAGGATGTGCAGCTCATCCAATTAAACAATTAAAAAACAATTTTGCCCATTAGTCATTTCAGTGCTTTGTTTTTGGAATGACTACAGAAACAAATGAGATGTAGAATTTAATTAATGGGCTGTAGAAGAATCTGTGTAAATGAGGCTTCATGTTTTGCCACAGCTTCCCATCAACCCTGATTCTTATATTGTAGATTCATCATGTCACACATCAGTATTTTCCTTCTTATTTGATTCTGAGGAGGTGAACATATTTTTAGACTGTTCGCACAGAAATCTTAAGCCACACATTTGTTTTAAATATATTTTTCGTTCAATAATGTTATCGTAGACTTCATATAGTCTTCATATAGTTCTTCAGGCTTCTTGAAGCAATCTGTTCTTAATCAAGATTATGACATTCTGCACCAGTAATTGGGATGTCTGCTCTATGGAGGCTGTTCATTACTATTTTAGAAATTTTTGCACACCTTAGGCCTTTTTTCCTGGTTCCCTGCATTAAGGAGGGTTTCTTTACAGCTGCTTATCATTGGTTACCATTTCTGATTAGGCTTTAGTGATGGATTAACTGATCCATCTTGCTAGTTCTGTCAGGTTTTTCGTGGATTTTTTTTTACACATTCTTGTATATAACGGGTGATTTAAGTTATTTAAGTTAAATCTTTTTTTATAATGATACACACCATTCTGTAATTCTTCAAAGGATAATGGAATTAAATGCAATACATGTCGACAGAAACACTTTGATACAACTGGGTAACTTTGGATTGCTACTGTTATATACCACTTTAAAAAGACGGCAAGAGAGTTTGACTCTTGAAGGGAAATAGAAATAAATAATTTGTGATTTAAGACAGTTGTGCCATACTGTCAATCAAAATTTTGATCCTCAATGTCAAACAATTTCTGTGGAATCTAGGGATTGTTTGCAAATCAGAACAATTCTCACTTGAATGCACTGACAAGATTTACTGCTATTATTTGATGCATTTCTCTTGTTCTGTATATTGGGGTTAGACATGTGGGTGCACAAATGTCAGTTTTCACAACAAAGAACAAACCTTCATGCCGAGTGAATTCTTGCTTCGGCATCTGATCTAAAAGGGTTAAGAGGTGCAAGCTTTTTCTCAATCGTTTTACCAAGAAAGTACAGTAGAAAAAAGATGGATATACACCCTGCACTTTTCACACATCACGACACGACCTCTGTCACAGTCCACAGGATTGCTTTCTGTCATTCAGAGATATGGGATGGTTAAATTACAGTTTGGTCGGAATGAAAATGTCTCCACAGTGTTGCACAATTTTTTATGTGTCAGGAAGCAAATTAGCCTCTTTGCTGATACATGGTCTGATACTTCTCAACACTTGCCTTACTGACTAACTGGAGGAAGATGGGACTTTCATGGCGTTGCCTTTAACATGCTGGTAGTTTGAGGCTGACTGTGTAACAAGCTTTAGCACGATTAATCCTCACTCTTCTTTCTAGCTCTTTTTTGGTCCTGTTGGTTACTTTTTTCTCCATGCCTTATGTTTTTCTTTATTTTAATCACATGTTTTATTATTATTTGTCTGTTAAATATCTTTTTCTTCAATGTCTCCCCTCTTTAACAGACTTTTGACAAGTGTTTCCTTGGATCGTCTGAGACAGCGGATGTGAACCGTGTGTTCTGTGGACAGATGGGGGCAGTTTACCTTTTTTCAGAAGCTCTCAGCGCTGCTCAGATCTTTGCCATCTATCAGCTGGGTCCAGGCTACCAGGTTGGAAAACAAGAACAACACTGATGCTTTTGTACAGGAGTAACATTCTGCACTGTAACTACAACTTTGCGTTTGCTGACTTGATGCAGAGAAATTAAAGTGACTGCAAGAAAAGCTAAAATAGGTCATTCAGATAAAAGGAAAAAAACCCCTATGTATATGTACCTAAACCCATCCAGAGGTCCTTACTGCCATTACAAATCGACTCTTCAGACATGAAACAGGAGCACAGGGAATCAGAGCTTATGTGACCTTTGGCCTCACTTCCCAGAGCTAGCATCAAAGATTCCTTTGAAATAAGAAAATAACAGTTTACTCTGACATGTTTAGTCTCTGAAAGGCTCATCTTAGCCATCTGTGATTACTTTCTGTTTATTTCTATGTTGATTTCATCCATTGTGGCTCATTGTAAAACACTGATAAGTTGAATTCAAATGTATCCCCTGCTAAATCAGCCGGATGCCCTAAGCAACAAGCCAAGCATGCACGATTTACCGAGCACGTTATGTGATAATAACACATTCTCTACTTAGTCCTAATTCTAGTACTTTTTATTTGGCACATTTTACTTTTAAGACCATTTTTTGCAAGATATTTTAATATTTAATTGGTTATTTGAATATAATTTAATTTAAATTAATGAGACACCTGTCTTATAGAAAAAAAAAAGGATTGAGTTTTGAATTTATCTTTAATCTTTGTCGTCAACAATACTTCAGCTGTGATGTGAAATAGACTGATCATTGCCAGATAAACTTGATGCTCTTCAGGATTAGAGCAGACTGAAGTTAGACAGATTTATCCCATTTAAAAGGATGTCTCTGTATGTTGAGTCTGTAAATTCAGTGAATGGTTTTAGATTTGACAGAAGAATTTATTTAATCATGGTTATGCAGTGTATTAGTTTCATTTGCAGCAAAAGAGTTTATTTTTGTTTTTAGATGCATGTTTACTACATTTAAACTTTTTTGGAACTTGGTTTGTATGTTCATTTCAAATAAGCGTTTTAGATCACAGCTCCCATAATTTTTGGTTAAACTGATAATCTTGGCATGACCATTTGTTTGGAAATCACTTACTGACAAATCAGAACACCTTTCCCCAGATCCGAGCACATTGGGCACTCCCACTGGCCTTTGTGTTGGTCAGTGGAAAGGCCAACGGAGCTCGGAAAGATAACATTTGTTTAAATTTTTTAAGAGTATGTATTCATATTTGGAGCCTCCTTACAAACCTGTAGTGTTTTGTCATTCGGACTTTGCTTTCAAACTTTGTCTTCCTTCCTTTCTTTGTATCATTGCACAGGGAACATTCAAGCACAAGGCCGAGAGTGACTTGTTGTTTGCGGAGCATCATAAGACCATACTGTATGATGGCAAGCTGTCCTCTAGTATTGCCTTTGCGTATAACCCTCGAGCCACAGATGCCCAGCTCTGCCTTGAGTCCTCTCCCAAGGACAACGCCTCAATTTTCGTCCACTCACCTCATGCACTCATGCTGCAGGTAATTATACACCCTCAAGTCTTTTCTTAGAGCATTGGCACTGTTTTTCCTGAACCTGATGTCCCAAGCATAAGCAACATCAACATCATAATATGAGTGCTAATTCATTCACTTCCTCCATGCTCCTCCTCTGTCACTTTTAAAAATCTGTGCTTTATTTAAATCATATTTTCAATGTGTAAATAAAAATTCCTCCATTGGAATCTGTTAATTTTATTTGTCTCATTAGGGCAGAGTTATAAATGTGCCACATGGCTGCAGCTGCTAAAAAACTGCCAGCCTCATGTTCTAATTATAATCTTGGCTTTCTCCAGAAGGTTCAATTTAGCTTTTTTCCCCCTGCTCTTTTAGCAGTAGGTGGTGATTTGTTTTTGTTTTTTCAGAAGTGATCCATATGCTGATAGGAAAAACACACGTACATCATGGAATAACAGAACAGTTCCTTCAGTCCTGTCGCATTTCTTCTCACGCACTAATTGAGTTTTCTCTCACGGGCTCTCATCAAAGAAAGAGCAGCTTTGTTGCTTTTGTGGGGGAGGTTTTCTCCAACTCGCCAACATACAGCATAACATAAACACACACACATACTTTGTGTGAAATATGAATGAATATATGACCTATATTTACAGCTTTGGTTTTCCATGCTCACAAGTAGAAGTTTTTTTAACCCTCCTCACAACATCACACACACAACTCTTTCAGCATACTAGCATTGGAACTAGTTACAGATAGGCTTCAGTGTTATTTAACCCCAAGAAAACTAACACTTAAATTGTACCCTACTGCTGTCCCAAATGTTGAGCACACTTTAAATTAGAAGAGTGAAAAAATTATGCAGCGTAAGCACAGAGGAAGGTCATAGTACACTAGAATACAACGGCCAAAGTGTTTGTGATTCCGACACCTAAAATCTTTTTTTATCAGCACTTACAAAACTGATTCATTCCATGTGATATCAAAGCTATGTGTTGTAAGACGCTGGCATGTCTGTCTCTTTAGGATGTGAAGGCTGTGGTGACACACTCAGTCCAGAGTGGCATACACTCCATCGGTGGTGTGCAGGTCCTCTTCCCCCTGTTTGCACAGCTGGATTACTGCCAGCCTTCCAGCCAAGAGCTGGACACCTCTGTTTGGTAACAGCAACTACTTTAATATCACTCTGAATTATGGGAAGTTTGGCTGTTTGTATGTTTGTTTGGCATTACTCATTTGTGATTCAAAATAGCACTCATTCCTCTATGCAGGTTACTTGTTAAAGGCTGTAAAATGTTCCCTCCTCAGAATGACCAAGATTGACCAATGCAACTGCTGCTTAAAGTTGAATTGTTCTTTTAACTCATGAAAGTTTAATGTGGTTAGTTCTTTTATGGCTAAAATAAACTTTAAACAAGGAACCCTAAGGGGTACAAAGGCACAACACAATATTTATTTGGACATATTTGATGGCCTTGTGCATTGCAAATTGAAATTTTACTGATCTAAACTGAAATGTTGTGCAGGTAAAATAATCATGTGTCACTTTGAGGCCATCTTCTACCTGCAGTGTGGTTGTATCAGCTGCCCTCAAGGTGATGCTAACTAGCACAATGGGGACACAACATCCTCATTCAATCAATCTTAATGTAGGGTATACCCTTGACAGTCAGGGCTTTGTCAGCCGCTAACATGCATTATTGTCACTATCTAACTTCCTGTCTGTCTTTCCCTTTTGTCTGTCTGTACGGCGGATAGCTGCACTTTGCTGTCGTTTGTAATGGAGCTCTTGAAGAACTCAGTGGCTATGCAAGAGCAGGTCTTGGCCTGCAAAGGCTTTCTCGTCATTGGCTACACATTGGAGAAGGTGAGATGAAGAAAACTGACTCAGCTGGCTGACAAATACACAAGAGAGCCATCTTCCCAGACCAGTAGCTGCCCTTGCAGTGACCCCATCCCAAAAATAAGGCTGATGTTGATTCCACTCTGCTGCAGATATGCTAACAGACTCACACACTACCAGCAACACTTGACACGAGACAGACTCTCTTTTCCTCTGGCTGTTTTTGGAGGTCACATCTGGTTTGTGTGCTTGTTAGGCAGAAGAGAATCCGGCCCCTTTTCTCTCTGCATGTGTCCTTTTCTTCATCTGCTCATGTAACATCTTATTTACCTTTTGAGTTCCCTTGTTTATGAAATTTATGCTCCTCAAATTTTGGAACTTATTGCCCTCTGCCTCTTCCCTCTGCGCTACAGTCTTCCATGGTGCATGTGACGCGCCCCGTCCTGGAGATTGTTCTGGCCTTTTCCAGATACCTTAGCAACTTGCAGAACGGCATCTTGCTGCTCAAGCAGCTTTGTGACCATATCCTATTCAACCCAGCCATCTGGATCCATGCCCCGGCCAAGGTAACGTAAAGGCACACATACACTCCATCACGTTGTTTAGTAGCATTCATTTACATTTATAAAGAAGACCAAATCTTTTTGCACTTGTAGATATATCCAAAACAAATGGAGTACTGCACACAGATGGCCGATTTGTCAGACTTTTGGTCAGACTTTTATTGAATTATAATAAAAATAATGAAAATAAATAAATCAAGAAAAACAAAAATAAAGTGCCATCTAGTAACTAATTGTTTTTGACTTTTTAAATGATCTTTTTCTCATTCTGTGAAGGAATTATACACATGAAATATAAAAAATGTAAGGTGCATCCGATTGAATTATTTTTTACACCCTTTGTCCAGTATGAAATATAAGCTGTAAGGGTTTCAGGCATACATGTCTTAAGTATGCTGATACTGGATTTTGAGAGGCACATATTCCAGTTCACCCTTAGATACTGAAAGGGACCCTCTTTATTTTCTGAGGCGGGTATATATTAGAATTAGATTATTTAACTCAAATTGGCAGAAAGCCATATATTGGTGATTAACATGCGTTTGGTTTCCTCTGTGCAGGTGCAGCTGACACTCTATACCTACCTGGCAACAGAGTTCATCAGCACAGTTACTATCTACAATGCCATTCGCAGGGTGGGCACTGTGCTCCAGGTCATGCATACACTAAAATACTACTACTGGGTTACAAACCCTCAGGACCGCAGTGGAGTCATCCCTAAAGGCCTTGGTAAGAAAGCTTGAAAATGATACAAATGTCCAGAAAATATGATGGAATACTTTAAATGCACCACAGATTTATTGTGCTTGCATCTTTTTTATTTTCAGTGTAAATGTGTTCACACCGCATGCTTTTAAAAGGAGATATCACACTATTTACACACTGCACTGAAAATATCCCTGTTCCTACCTCTCTCGAGCTTGTGATCATCCTCGTTCAAATTTTCCTGCAATCTCTTGGGCTATTGTGCTCATGTTGTGTTTTTTCAGACGGCCCTAGGCCAAGCCAGAAGGAGGTACTGTCTTTGCGAGCCTTTCTGTTGCTGTTTGTCAAGCAGCTAATTATGAAGGTAAGCTGAAAAAACAATGCATGGCGTCTCTTGAAGAACTATCAAGATGTCATCTTTGCTTTTTTTTGTTTAAAAAAATCAGCTCAATTGTATGAGAGAGCTGTCTTCATAATATTATCATATATAATTTAGTAACTGATGCATGTACCTGTTTATCTTCACATACATGCTATACCAAATAGTTTCCATAATCTTTTCTGTGTTCTTATATTCTCAAATATGTTTAAATACCATTTTCTTTTAATTCTTCGTTAATTTTGAAAATCTTTCCCTCTCTGCTAATGCAGAGGACACTTAAGGTTGCGAATGGTTAGATGACCTGTGCATTTATAATACAGGATCATGGAGTGAAGGAAGACGAGCTGCAGAGTATCCTCAACTACCTCCTGACCATGCACGAGGTAGGAGTGTGTCCTGTTAGGAACTGTCAGTGATCAGCACTGAAAGAACTCGCCACAGGATGGCAGTACGATACCACTGCAGCACACTTTGTCTCCCGACAGTCCCATAAGCAAGAACAAACATCTACCGTGACTAAATGCACTATTACTAGGATTTGTTATTTTCCAAGTCTGTCAGTTTGAGCTTCTGACATAAAAGTGGTCTGTAGTCCAGACAAGTGACACTCAGCAATCATTAAAACAGATTAGTCAGGGAGGACGTGAACTTGAAGGGTCATTACAGTGCCAAAAGAAAAAGCCTTCATCATAATGCCCCTATTTATTTTCATATGTTGGATTAATATGCTTATTATATGCTCTAGATTATTACACAATGTTTGAATTTGAATATCAGGGAGTGGACGGGCGTACAGTATGTTTGCTTTGCTCGCGTTTTTTAATAAATTGCTCACCGTGAACTTGGCTTTAAGGTGGTCAGCGCACGCCCCGCAGCAGCTCCATGTTTCCTTTGTATTCCACAGGATGACAACCTCATGGATGTGCTGCAACTGTTGGTTGCTCTAATGTCTGAACATCCAGGATCGATGGTTCAAGCGTTTGACCAGCGAAATGGAATTCGGTAATCATCAATTTGCTAAATTAAATCTGATTTATCTCAGTCAAATTATTTAGCATTTACAATGTGGACAGTATACTGCATTAAAACACGATTCAGTTATATTTTATATACAAGAACAGTATGCATTTATTTGACATACTTTTCAGTTCAATTTGTATTTTTTTTACCCACAGCGTGATTTATAAGCTTTTGGCCTCAAAAAGTGAGGGAATAAGAGTCCAAGCTCTCAAGGTCATGGGCTACTTTCTGAAAAGCTTGCCACCAAAGTAAGTAGCTTGATGTCTCTTTAGTGGTTTTCCAGATTACACAAGTATCAAAAATATGAATACGCTTTCCAGCAAAGATTTCTCCATGTTACATTTTTAAACGTTCTAAGGGTGTGCACCACATGAGCTAATACCCTTAACAGCATTCTTCCCTGTATGATTCCAGAATGGTTGGATTGTTCACTGCTCCCTCTCCCCAAATTTCCTGTCTGTTTTTCTACTTATCTTTGTAAAAAAAGATACCAACAAAAGACAAAAGTAGGGGGGAAAAAAAAAAAAAAAAAGTGTGCGTGTGTGTGTATATTTATATATATAGATACACACACACACACACATTATATATATATATATAATGTAATCTGTATTCTTATATAATGAAAAAATTCAATAATATATATAAATTTCTTTTTTCATTATATAAGAATACAGATTACATTTATTATTCATTAAACTTGGGCAATCTCTTTATTAAGCTGTTGCCTCTGATATCCGAATGAACAGAGTTGGTTAAAAAAAGAAGCGAAAATAAGAAAAAAAGGCAAGTTTATCTACAGAGCAGTCAGTGATGTTATTTTCTTTGATGATCCGTGATGAGCTTCAGATTCGTATTGCCAGCTGTTCACCATTTCGCTTGACCTCATAAGTACTGTTTCCAGTCTGCACTGGAAGCTCATGCAGGAGATCTAGATGCAGCTTTTTCCTTTCTTGGTAATGGATTTTGGGACTTGTGATCCATGTGCAAGAATGCCTGTTTAAACTATCTGTAAACAGTTGACAGTGTTTGCAGCTAAGCTGAAAATCGAAAATTGAAGCTGATGAATGACGGAGATGGAAGTGACAAATGCTTTTCAGTGAAAAATGAGTTTGAAGCCCGCAGAGCCCAATCCAATATTTATTGTTGAAGACTATTAGAGTCTTTTTCTAACATTTTTATCATATAAACACAAGCTTTGCATTACCTTCTCATTCAATAATGGCTTAAGCAAATGTCCGTGTTTCTCTAATGCTGTTGTCCTTTCAACGTCCTGATCAGGAGGAAAGCTGAGGTCATGCTGAGTCATGGCCTGTTCTCCCTGCTCACCGAACGCCTGATGCTCAACTCCAGCCAGTTCACCATGACGACCTACAATGCACTCTTTGAGGTCAGTCTGCTTTTGCCCTTTGAGAGACAGTTGCAGCTCGTCAGTAGGTTTTTCTTTTACTGCAAGCGTGTGTGCCTCCTTAGTTACGGTTTCCTTTGTCATATGTGAATTTGATTATCCACATGAAATCCAGAGAAGCCAACCATCTGCAGGTAGAGGAATTGATATTTATATAAAAAGTTGACAGTGAAACCAGAGCGGCGGCCTTTGTTTTCCCTCCCTGTCATTTTTCAGAATAATGCAGACATTTATAGACTCGAGTCTCCTCTCTGTCCCCTGGTAGATTCTTACGGAGCAGATCTGCACTCAAGTGATCCATAAACAGCATCCGGACCCCGACTCCACTGTGAAGATTCTCAACCCGCGTAAGTGCCTCCTCTGCGCCACACTGCTCTCCTAAATCACTGGCCGCAGCGTACCCTCTGCATACCTACGGCTCAGTGCTGCTGGAGGATAATCCCCGTGGAACGTCACCCTCTCTATACACCGTCCAACAAACGAATGACATAAATTTAGCAGCAAGTGTGTATATTCATCCCCCTGATCCTCAGATGTAAACCCAGCGTGGGGAAGGTGCAAACACTTAGTGTGACACATATACACACATTCTTTGTTTTATTGAAGCTCAGGATTATTTTTCACCAGTTTTAATATACAGATAAAGGTGTGATAGATGTGGTGAAATTAGTTTTTAGTCCTGGTTAAATTTGCTTTTTTTTTCTCTCTCGTGGTCAGCATTTGTCACAGAATTTGCATCTAAGTGCTGTGGGGTAAATATTATTTGAGATGTAATGATGGAACATATTTTAATATATATTGTAACAATATTTTAAAGTGATTTAAAGGAATGTTGTATCGTAAACAACAGTTAAAAATGTGTATGTGTTTTTGTAGGTATGTATTAATTACTTTCAGCCTTGTTGCTCACACCGTGGCTGGCTTTTTTCTCTTTTTCTTTTTTGCACAAAGGGTACCATAATGACCAGAAACTGTGGCTGTGATCCTGGTTCCCTTTTCATATTCACAGGCTATCATCAGCTCACAAATGTTGAAATATTAATAATCTATTACACTCATACTCTGCTCTTCTTTTTTTTTTTTGGCATGTTTCTTGTAGTTGTTTTTTTAAAATGATGCTTTAACACTTGCACACATCGGTATGCACACATGGGCTAAACCGCTCTAATTAGTTAGAAAATCCACGTCCGTGGTATAATCACAACCAAGGTTTACGTCCAACCAGCCTTAATCTGACAGGGTCTCGCTGTAGTCGCACACTGATTACCAGAGGCCTTTATTGTGTTAAAAGCTCTCCTGCCCAACTATCTTAGACAGGCGGTGTGTGTGTATAAGGATCACAGAAACCTTGCAGGAGTTTTCTACATATGTGCTCATGCCATAGAACACAGAGACGTGGTCTGTTTCTCCTTTGCCGTGTATCTCTTGATTTAATCTGTGACAAACTCTCAAAATGGCCCCCTGATTGCAGTCTTTAGTAACGTCAGAGCCAATCAAACAAACCGAGGAAGTAGCGTTTCCCACAAATTAACTCTAGGGAAAAGAACCAAGGGCCAAATGGAAAAAACAAGGGGATACACCATCCCTCCATCCGCGTTCCCGGTACACGCTGGGGTAATTTTCTGGCGGTAAAGGTTCAGCGACTCATAATTTGAGTGACTAAGGCGTAGAAACAACACAACAGTCGGCTGGGGCAGGGGGCATTGGTTAGCGCCAAGGTTTGGAAAGACAAGTGAAATCCTAGCCCCACCGTCCATCTGCTTGGAGTAAATGCACACTGACACTGTCTAGATAATTCATCTAAACAGTCAGTCTCTTTGGTTTAACCAAAGCCGAGCCTTCCAGAAGTGTCTGCGATTCTGGCTTGCTCGTTTGAAACAATACCAAAACCATTATGGATGATAAAGATCAATGCCTTGTGCTTTTCAGTTTCCTGTGTTCTAATTTTGTTTAGTTTTTTTCATAGAAAAGCGCAGATTTTCTTGTCTTTAAAGCTGGAAATTCACATAGCTTGTGACACAATGATTTGGACATGTTGAAACCAATGTAGGATATAGTTATAAAATGTGTAGACAATGCAAAATGTCTCCAGATTTAAACTTCGCCGTAATGTAACATGCTGTAAATCACAAAATGGAGAAGTTAAACAAAGTATTCAGCTATTTTCAGGCCCCTATTATATCACTTCTTTTTTAATTATACAAACATTTTGTATCTTTTGGCTTTAAATGGGTTATTTTGTTCTTTTTCAGAGATTCTGAAGGTAATAGCTGCCCTTTTGAAGAACTCTCCCCCTTCCCCCGAGAGCATGGAGGTGCGCAGGGTGTTTCTGTCAGACATGATCAAACTGTTCAATAACAGTAGGGAGAACCGCAGGTAAGAATTCCAGCGCTTCACAGGATGGAGAAGTCCATCAGTCCAGGCAGCGTTTCCATTCGGCACCACGCCGTTTCCTTCAAAATGCTCACTTTGTTGTTTCAGGAGCCTGCTGCAGTGTTCGGTATGGCAGGAGTGGATGCTCTCTCTGTGCTTCATTAACCCGCGAAACAGCGAGGAGCAGAAAATCACAGAGATGGTCTACGCCATCTTCCGCATCCTGCTCTACCACGCCATCAAATACGAGTGGGGCGGCTGGCGCGTCTGGGTGGACACCCTGTCCATCACCCACTCCAAGGTCAGAGCGCTCATTAGATCACTGTTCTGCTCAGACACGCACAGGCGAAACACCCATTTTTTTATTTTATTCATTTTCACTTCAGGTTTTATCCCTGGGTATCGCTGAATATCCCCGTTTTTTGGTCCAGGCTCTGCCTATCTTCGTCATACCCCACACACACACATCTTGCTGCAATATTGTCAACCTAAACACTTGTCACATAACTGTTACCATAACCGTCCTCCCCACTTGGGTCTCAGCCAGAGAGCAGTATTCACTTAAAGCCATCTGTTCTGTCACATGTTTTTTTTTTCTTCCTTTTTTTTATTTCAGAGGATGACAAAATGTAATTCATCAAATGATCGTTGTAGCTTTACTGTCTGGCTCTTTAACTTCCAGCGTGGGTCTACACTGTAATTGAAGCATGCCTCTCATCGCCCATCAGATTAACCTATGGGAGCCGTATAGTGATTATAATTTAAAAGCAAGTTTCAGTATAAACCAATTGGAATGAATCCCTTCAGCCCTTCCTCTCTTTATTTATGTAAAGAGTCTCTTTCTTTCACATCGCACCGATAAAAATAAACTTCTGGCACTTCGTATTTCCAAAAGCTGAATTCAAAATGCCCCTTTAGAAACTCACTGTTGATATCATGTTACGTGACCCTGTTCCAGAACAGTGAAGTAATTGAGGTTGGTGTCAGATTGTGGTCTGGGAGGTTTTTAAGCCTGGCAGATTGAAAGTTGAGTTAAAGAAGTGCTGGTGATATGAGACGCTTCCCTGTAATGTGCTGCTGTGAGAGCTGCTGTCCTACAGGGGGCACAGACAGACTGCTGGGAGATGAGCAGTCTGAAGGCAGCAATTAACAGCGCGGGTGTGCTTTACGCAGGATGTTCAGGACTCAGTGTCTCCCCAAACATCGTAGAACAGCGGACACAATGATAACAAGGGGAAAAATAAAACTGCTGCATGTATTCTCCTCACAGTGATGGTTGTGAAGCGTAATATGTCACAACCTCGATGTTTGACTGCATCGGATTATCATGCGATCATATTTTACGATATCGAAAAACTGAGATATTTAACTGCATGCGGATAATAAAAATAAAAAGGAAAAATATTTAGTTAACCTGAGATTATGAGGACGTTGTATCAACATGTCAGTGTAAGAGTTTTCGATGCGTTTTCTTTTCTTTTCTGCATGGCTTATGCCCCGAGTCGTGTTAAAAAGATGCTTTGTACATAAAAGGGTTTTTTTTTCTTTCTTTCCTGTGGAACTTTGTAAGATTAATGGTGTTTCTTCTTGGCTGCTGTTGCATTGCAGCCCAGCAGCATTTCATGCGTGTGAATTAACCCATGCACTTGCGTGATGTTAGATGTCCTCATGCATACACAAAGGCACCCGCAGTGCTTGGAGCCGACCATGTATTGGATAGCTGCAGCTGGCGCTAGCCACCAAGATACATGCATCTGCTATAAAAAAAAGCTAAAGAAACTCAATTGCAATTTTATTGTCCCATTTGATAGATTTCCTGCCACATTTGTAGCACCAGAGCTGTTTGTCACTGTTGCTCTCTCCTCCCACTGCTGCAGGGCCGTGTGTGTGTGAGCATGTGTATGTATGTGTATGTGTGTGTCTATTTGAGTGAATGTGAGTTACCAGCCACATTTTCTCTTTGCCCTCCTTCTCTCTTGGGTTTCTAGCAAGCCCCTCTCTCAGAGCACATTGAATATTCATCGGAACTACGCAAGAACAATCGCAGAAACAAGGCCTCATAAATACAACCAGCCCACTGGGAGCCTCTTGATAACTGCATATATGCATTCACAAATACATATTTGCAAATTTCCCCTTTACAAAGATTTAGTACGCCTTGCATCGACCATGCCAGAGTTGTCGGTTTGGTGTGTATAGGGACAGTATGCCTCAAGCTGAACATGTGTTTTCACATTTCTGTGGCAAATTGTCATGGAATCGCATAATGTTTTTTTTTTTACATTTTCCTTTGGTCAGTTAGGAGTCCATCATATGCTGCATTATGTGTATGCAGACATTTTCTGCCACATTTCCAGGAACAAAGCTGCAAAACATGGTGTCGAGTAACTAAAGTTTAGGGGAAATAAAGAAGAAGTTTTCCGTCCTCCAAGGTTTTCTTAAGGTTTTTTTTTTAGGACATAACATTTAGAAAATGTTTTTATTTTTACAAGAAAAATAAAAAAATCAGCCGACGCAACATACCTAACGTACCCCTCTGCGCACACAAGTCAGTCTGAGAAGAAGAAGAGAAAGATTTGGGCGTGAAGGTTCCTGTGCCCTTGACTCTTCCTCTGTCAGACTAACTTCATTAAACACGTTGTAACCCATAAACAGATGAATAGAAGATAATGTGACAGAAAAATATTTTAACCAAGAGATAAAGAAAAGAGGAGATATTGTGAACTGGAGTGAAACTGCACAACCAGAGCGGCAGAAGCAGATGACATTGATTTTAGAGGAGGAATTGCATTTAGCAAATTGGATTAGGGCTGTTCTGCCCTCCCTATTTCCCCTTTTTTTTTTTACTTACTCGTCTACGGTTGCCGTAAGTGTGGGCTACCGGGCTCCTGCTATTGGGGGGTGGTGTCCCTCACTAAAATCAGTGGTTTGGTTGCCTGTTCCTAGCCCACTGAAGCAGGTTTTATTCAGGTTTTCTTATACATCAAGGGAACACAGCCATTTAAAAACTAATTAGATAATAATTTATTCACTCAGAATTTTGCTAATGATGGTCCAAACTTTTTACAACTTTAGTTGTCATTCAGAAGGTTGGTAGCATTTCACCTACTGAAATATTTCAAACTCCTTTGTGAGTTTACCCTTGTTGTACCCAGTGAATACCATGCTACCTGTCACTTTAAAGAAGCCCACCATGCTACTCCACATTACCATAACATTTTTCCATAGCCCACTAAGACCAGAGCGAAGCATGGAGTGGACTGAAATTAGATTAGATCAGCACTGATGCCTAAGCCACCCAAGGCAGTTTCTATACAGCGGTACGAGGCTAAATGCTCTTTTAAAAACCACAGAGACATACACTACCTCTGTGTAATGGTAACTAGATCTGTTACAGGACCCTATTTAAGGCCAGCATACATCATCCTAATGTACAGACGGCATCCTGAATCTATGATGTTATGTGCATCACTGCTTTCCTGCATAATGTCCGTAGCGGTGCACTCTGAATGCTGCCTTTTAATTGCTGAAAATGCTAAATGTCAAATTAAGCTCAAACTAATGGTTCAGAAGGTCCTGCCGTGTGATCACTGGAAAAGCAGGAGAGAGAGAAGGAGACAGACCAGTGGCGCATTTAGAACAGGCTGTGCTCTTAGAAAACAGCTATGGATTACCAATCACTGCTTCCCACCACAGAAGATTAATGAGCACCCGTGTAGCTGGCTAATTTAGAACAATAACGCCTAATTAATTACAAATAATCAGCTTCTTTCTCCTTCTTTCCTTTCTTCCTCACTCAATGACTTTTTTTGGTTCATTTGCAATTTATTTTTATCCCTTCCTTTTCATCTTTCAACTTTCCCGTTTTCTTTGTTTCTTTTTCAATCTTCCCATCTTTCTCCCTCCTGTCCAAACAGCCTTAGGTGAAACAGGAGAAAAGTGGCTGTAGTTTACCCCCCCCTCTCCACCACCGACCCATCTTTGACTCTGTCCTCCAAGCCCAGTGATTAATGCAAAGTCTTAAATTGGGCGTGGGAGGATTTGCCAATGCCGGACACGCACTCAGCACAGCCAGAAGACACACACTAATAGCATCTACTGCTAATCTATGACTGCTTACATTGATGGGCTCTTCCTCAAATGCCACTGCCGACCATTGTCGGTATAGACTAGCAGTCTAGTCTACCCATATCAGATGGTAAGAAGACTGATGGAGGTTAATGGGCTTTGGAAAGCTGCATATACAGTAAGAGAGAAGTTTGAAATATGGCACAGCTATCAGAGATGGTCCCAGTGGTTTGAGGTTGTAATAAGCTTGCAATTAAAATACAACCGGGAGACTTTCTCACTATCAGTATTTGATGTTTAATTTTTACAGCCAGTTAAGGGTATGAAATGAGACATAGAGGGAATGTGATAATTGGACTTTGTAGACCCAGGGGAGTCTGGGGTGCAGGTTAATGACAGAAAATAAGACTACAAGCTGGACCTGATACCAGTACCTGGTAAAAGATTTTTAAATTGTAAGGTTTTTAAATCAGATTAATTTGGGGAGCAAGCAGCCCTCTGTCCCCCTGAAGAGCTTGTCATGGCATGAAACAGTGCACACAGCTGCTTAGCCAAAGCCAAAAATATAATCTACCTGTTCTGTTTTGTTGAGTTTATATATTTTTGTATTTATTTATACCCCTGTGACTGTCAAAATGGTGACCCAAACAAAGAGGTCTTAACAAAGATGTATGTATTTCTGGGTTTGGTCATACAACTCACAAAACTATCGCCAAACTGACTTTGTTAATGTTAGTTTTTCTACTAACACTATAACAAATTTTGTGTTTGCAGGTGACCTTTGAGCAGCACAAAGAGAATCTGTCACGCATGTTTCGTCAGTACCAACATCAGGAGTCTACAGGCTCCCGGAGCTCAATACGCACAATTTCTGGTGTAAGCCAAAACTCGGATTCCATGAGATGTGTTAATGGGCCACCTGCGGAAGAGACGGCGCCCTCCACTGTCATTGAACTTACAGTGGACGAAGTGCCCCCGAAATCTATGGACTCAGCATCTAGTTCCACCATCACCTCCAGGCCAGCGGAGGCCAGCGAGGACAGAGGACACGCATCTATCAGTGTGTCCAACATTCTGTCCACGGCAGCAGAGGAAGAGCAGGAGATGGTGGAGGAGTCGACCAGAGATGGTTCAGCTGCAGTGATCAAGAAAACACAGGCAGAGGAGCGGAGTGAAGAGATCAGCAACAAAGGAGCCACTGGTGATGAGTCTGAAACTGAGCAACACGGCAACCAACCGGAACCAGCTGACACAAAAGCAGGGGACGCGGTCAGAGACTCTGCATCTGAGAGCGACCTATCACAAATCCCCACGACAGATGAGGAAAAGTCAGAGTGTGAACACAACACAGGTGAATCGTCAAATCTCAAAGCAGAAGATTCTTTAAATGAAGGAGATGGAGAAGGGCTAGATAGTTCTAAACAAGGAGATGGGATCCAAATGTCCCCTGAACCCGCTGCCTGTCTGGAGAACCCTGTGCTGGGTGGAGCTTCTGGCCTTAATGAGGACTTGGTTGACGTGTCCACTGTTAGCGACCAGGTCCATCCCAGTGATGCTGATGATAGTCAAGAGGAGTCCTCATATGCCTCTGCTGCGACTGGAGACGAGGGCGAGGTTGGAAAAAAGGAGTTTGAGGGTAAAATAAGTGATCAGGAAGAGCAGGAGATTAAAACTGAGGACGAAAACAAAGACAAGCAGGATATTGAAACACAAGAAGAAAAGAGTGAACCTGTAAAGGAACAGGAAAGTCAGACTCCTCCAGCTGAAACACTTGAACTAAGCGGCACAGAAGCACCCAAAGACAATGCTGGAGACGCAGAGTCTTCCTCTCCAAGTGAAACTGCTGCTGCAGACCAGCAGCCCTCAGATGCCATGCAGGAGGCGGCAGCAGCTCCAGATGCCGCCTCACCAAGCCAGCCCTCAGACATCAGCGGCACCTCTGCAGGAGAGACCCCGTCCAGTGCCCCTGACAATGGCACCACTACCTCTGACACCTGCAAGACCACCGACTCTGTCAGCAAGGCCAAAGAGATAAAAATTGCCCGACTGGATGTGTCCAATGTGGCCTTGGACACGGAGAGACTTGAACTGAAGGCGACATCTACTCCAGTATGCATCCGTTTTCTCTTTCTCATAAACTTTTAGAGTGGAGCATTTGGGCTATGTAACACAAATAAACAGCCAGGCCTCTAATCCCAATACCCATATTTTCTGGGCCTACCCCATTTGAATTCTGTCCATATTTTGCTCCTGCAGGAAACAAGCCAAGGCCAGACGGTCGCCTCAGGAGCAGGAGAAGCAGCAGGTTCCCCCAGCCAGCCCAGAGAGAGTAGCAGTTCAGCTCCTCGCTCCACCATGTTCCGTATCCCAGAATTCCGATGGTCCCATATGCATCAGCGCCTCCTCACTGATCTCCTCTTCTCGATCGAGACAGATGTGCAGATGTGGAGGAGGTAGGGAAGTCACTCATTGACGGTGGTTGTATTGTTATATATTAAAGTGAGACTTGACTGGAAACCAGTGGCCCTACAGAGATGGACGAACCGTCCCTTCCAAACAGTATAATCTATGAACTGTCTCTGAAATCACAGCATAAAGTTTAATGTAATAATGACCTAATTAATAATAATGAACAAGCTTTTTGTTCTAAGTTTGGTTAAATACGTTTAGCTAATTTAAGAGTTGTGTTGCTTTCCTAAATGTTTTTTGTCTTTTGTCTTTTAGTCACTCCACAAAGACAATCCTGGACTTTGTGAACAGCAGTGAGAACGTTGTGTTTGTCCACAACAGCGTACACCTCATCTCCCAGGTGGTGGACAATCTCATTATGGCTTGTGGAGGCATTCTACCACTGCTCTCTGCTGCAACATCTTCCTCTGTGAGTTCCTTAGTGCTTTGTAGTGTAATGTTGATGTTTTTTTTCCTTTTTTCTTTTCCTTTTTCTGTCCATGTGGCTGATGGCCAGGGCCACAGGAAGTTATCAATCTCCATTGACCTTTTCCAATCACATTAGACTACAGTTAGCTGCCTTCTAACATTGTTAGCTTGTTTTTGTTTTGTCTGACCTCAGTCGCTGCAGCATACATGATTCTGTTTCCATGACTCTTCTCTGCCAATGACCTAACTAGGCCGGCTAGGAAATGGGCGGATGCTCAATTGCATTATAGTTTAGTTACATTGAGCTGTGTGTGTGAGACCTGTAACTAAATTTAGAATTAGCTGTGAAAAATTGTGCTTTTGGTGTTTACTTTCGTTACAGCTGCCATCTAAATGTAGCAGGTCATGGCAATTTATCAATGATAACAAACTTTGAAAAAGCATTCGTTCTTTAATTCTGTGTAAAATTCAACTGGAGAAATGTCTTGGATGGTATACCTCTGAAATATGCTTTCAACTCTGTATTTTAATTTGCATCCCGTTTCCCTTTTATTAAATACCAGCATGAACTAGAGAACATTGAGCCATCTCAGGGTTTGGCGGTGGAAGCCTCTGTCACCTTTTTGCAGCGCCTCATCAACCTCGCAGACGTTCTCATCTTTGCCAGCTCCCTAAACTTCACAGAGATAGAAGCTGAGAAGAATATGTCTTCTGGAGGCATCCTGCGGCAGTGCCTTCGCCTCGGTGAGTACATGTTTTCTTTCATTCTTATGACATTCCAAACTCTCTGTCTAGCCTGGTCTGTTTTGTACTGTTTCTCAATGTTCAGCTGCTCCATACAAAAATGTATTTTAGGAACAAATATTGTTTCAATATCATGAGAATAGTTTCTAATAATAGATGCAGGAATTAGTTAAAACATTTTTTGTAAAGATTTTTCAATTTAGAGGACAAATAGTGAAGAAAATCTAACATCTAAAATGGGGAGCCCTTAATTCATGTAACCTAAAATGATACTGATAAGTTTTCACATGTGTAGCAATCTTTCTACTCGTCTGTAGTCGAAAACTGAATTTCCTTTAGCTTATCTCCTCCTGTTTCCTTCACTCTCTGGGCTGTCCTGTCGATTCGCACCACATCAGCTGGCAGCAACTCCCTGTGTTTGCGCTGGCCGTTGCCACATTTTCACACTCCGTTCCACATTCTCTCCTCTCCACGTTCTCCAGCTGCTCCTCTCATCCCCTCCTCTCCTTCACTTTGCTCATATCAGCTCTCTCTTATCATGTTATTATAACCCTACTGCATGGCAACACTTTAAAATGGCTGCTAGCATGATATAGTGAGTTGTCCATAATGGCCTTGGCTGCGCTGTGCTGCTGCACCGCCTGAAGCATTGTTCTGCCTTCTGTTCAAGGCTATTAAAGTTTCCTCTGACAGCTTCTAAAGCCTACATGCACAAATGGTGAATAAAAAAACGTCAAAAATTGTACTTTTATCCTTTGTTGTGCAACGTTTTTACCAAAGAAGACGAGCACGATATAAACACATAGGCTAAATGTGAAAGCAGCGCCTTTTCAAGCTTTTAAAAGGATGTTTTCATGCCTCGCTACACTTAACGTAGTAGTTCTAATCCCGCTTTCAGATTCAATCACTGTCACAAACAAAAGCACCATCACAATGCAAACTTGTTTTGCTAAGAACAGTACCTCTCTGATCTCATTGCTGCTGTGCAGAATTTACAGGAAAATGCCATCAGGTTTTAGGAGGCAGGCCTTTATGAAATGAATATTTGATGAGGTATGCGCTCCCCATTGCAGGCACCTAATCTGATTTTGGAAAACTGTAACAAGGTTTTAGCGTCTCCACCCCTCCCTCTGCCTCTCTTTTTTTATAAATGATCGTATGAAAGAGTGGTCCTAATGGAAAAAGCGAGCCCATTTCCAGATGGAATAATTCCCTCCTTCGTAATCTTAATGCAGCCGAGTTAACATTTGTCAGTTGTCAAGCACTGAAAAGAAGAGGCTTGGAGGGGCTCCAGAGAGGAGCAGTGCATTAAATTACACGGCAAGCATGTCGCTTCTGAACCCACCTAAAGTTATCGGACAAAAAGATATTTTTCCTGTGGCGAAGGACGCATCTTGCTGCCTACTCAGCATGTGCACACCCTAACGGTGTCATTTATTATGGGAGCTGCACACAGTGGATATGATTCAAGACAACACCCCTGCTCTATGACCTTGAGAGGAGAGGTGGAGCAGGGAAGAGTGAGCGGTGCTGCCAGGGTTGGCCAGAGCACTGACCTTGTCATGGCCCCACTTTTTCTCTTTCGTTTTGTCTCTCTCAGTTGCTCCTGCCCTGGTCTCATCGTGTCCCATCCTGGAATTTCATTTGGATTTCTCCTTTGTTACCTTTGGTGCATAAAAGCATCATTAAGATGACTTTTGCCCTTCGGTTCAAGTTGCTCTCATTTTGACTTTGAATGTATGATGTCTCACGGCAACTTATTCTACTTTGCAGTGTGTGCTATGGCAGTGAGAAACTGTCTGGAGTGCCAGCAAGCCCAGTTTAAGCACGAGGCTGAAGGCTCAGCTCGCAGCTACACAGCCATGCCCAGCTCTGTGCTTGGAACTGCCAAGTCTGCATCTGCTCAGGCAAGTAACTACCATAAACCTTTATCATCAGAATGTTACAGTAATCTTTATTAAGTTATTCTTTATTCAACTGATTAGAGTTGATTTACAATATTTTTCTTCTTATTTGAAATACAGAATTAAAGCAAAGAAATAAATAAATCTATTCCTGCAAATAGAAATGATAATATTTCTTTCCCTGTCCTCAGAACTGAGCCACAGGCAGCTTTGCCCTTTGTCCACCCCACTGGTAGCACCCAAGTGTTATTGTATTAGCTCGTATCTTATTATATTACTGCTCGCGTCGCTATGTGTTACACTAGACCGGGGCCTTTGTCACTGCCCCTTTGATTTGATACAGTGACTTCCAGTAAAGCCATGTTGTTCTTCCCTGAACCGGGTGTTAAAGCTCATTTATAATGCAACGGCTCAACTGAAAAGCTCTTACGCTAAGGACACAATCTCATGAGGGATAGCTTCCCAAAGCTGTTTAACCGTGCTCTGCTCCATGATGGCTGCAAACTAGCATTTGTGCTTCACATGCAGATGATGATGTGTTAATGATTAAACCTTTCATGCATGCATACAGAGTCCTGTTGATGCAGTGACGGGTGGCATGTCCCCAGTCAGAGATTTAGACCGGCTCCTCCAGGACATGGACATTAACCGGCTCAGGGCGGTTGTCTTCAGAGATATCGTGAGTTGTTCAGCAAAGACACAGACTTTCCTCACGTTGAACATTGCTCCTCTGACTTGTTTTGCTTTGTGAACAGGACACATACACAGATTTTTTTAGTGGATTTTGTTTGTTTCAGGAGGACAGTAAGCAGGCCCAGTTTCTGGCTCTAGCTGTAGTCTACTTCATCTCAGTCCTCATGGTGTCCAAATACCGTGACATCCTGGAGCCGCACAATGACAGTAAACACCCCCATCGCTCTCAGTCTTCGAAAAGCACAGGTATGTAGTCTTTTACGAAAAAGGCATGCTGTGGATGGCGTGTTGCAGTCGTCTCCAAACACATCCTTCGTATTAATGTCTTCTCAGACAGTGGTGCCGCTTCAGGTGGAACAGAGGTGGAGAATGGCTTCTCTCTCAGGCGGTACGACTCTGGTATCGGTGACGACCCCACCTCAACTGCAGTGAGCGAAGCAGATCTGTCGTCTTCTGGTGCAACTCATGGCCCAGACGCCATCTCAGAGGCCCTGTCCACACTGTCATCTGAGGTCAAACCTGCTGTGTCTGCTGACTCAAAGGGCAAGAACGTGAAGGACATTCTTCGAAGCCTAGTGAGCGCTCCTGCGGATGATATCACAGTAGATCCAAGTTTACTGCCTCCAGCGTTTCTCGGTCCGATCGGGGAAGTGGCCAGAGAACCGTCCCTGCAGTTCCGCTCATTCGATAGGTGAGGGCTGGGGTTCAAACACCCGCTTGAATACTGTGCAAAGGTTTTGTGCTACATCTTGTGGTCTGTGGAGACCTTAGCTTAGACCTGACAGCTTTGTCAGTTTCTTAAACCCATATGCTATAACGTCTTGCCAGCAGTATAATGCCTTTTATCCCAGTTTTATGCCTTTCAACTTCAGGGGACTTTTGAAAGTCAGACCTTGAAGTCCTCTCAGCTTTGTATCCTCAGAGGAAGCCACAGTGGATTTTGAAAAGCATTCTGTTACTGAAACTCTTCAAAACAGGATGATAGTCAGGCCCTTTTCCTTGAACTCCCATTGTACTCTGGTCATATTAGATGCAGCTTCTCATCTCAAGCAAGGGGTTTACAAAGAACCTGCCATAAAATAAGACAAAGGTGAAAAAGGCACGAGTGCTCTTCTTAATGAACAGGCAGGGACCTAGCATAGCATTCAGGAAGTTGTTAGTTTTCACATTGCCATTTATATTTGACAGTTCTTTTCATCTACTTGTTTTACTCTAACATACAAGCATAGCGTTTCAGCGCTGTGCTTAAAAAAAAGCTGAATTTGTGTTACCTTTGGTGATGCTGGTTGATCGTTCAGGAGCAAGGTTTCAAAAGTAAAGCCGGCTACTGAAGCCTCCGACAGGCCCAGGTGAGAGAGGATGGTTATCGGTCTGGTTTGTATTTGGGCCGTTGATTCTCAGACGTCTCCACGCAGCAGAGAGAGGTTTCTGGGTGAAAAGAGAGAAGAAGACGGGAGGAGATGGGGGGGTTCGGGGGTTGGGGGATGGTTGTCAAGTCGGAGTTCTCATCTTTTTGAAGAAAAATTTCTACATTTTTCTTCCTCTTCCTCTCAAACACAGTCAGTCTGCCTGCCCCCAACTGTGGGAATTCCACCGCATCTCTGTGATCGCGTGTCTTTATCTGAGGAATGCTTTGTCAGGTCTCAGGGCGCTCCTCATATCAGGGGGATTAGACTGGCTCCTGTCCGCTGAGCACACTCAGTGGGAAGAGAGGACGTCAGGAGAGCTGCAGAACGTAGAGTAACAGCTCACTCTATGTCTATGGGAGTCTCTTCATGCAAACACAGGCTCAGACATCAAACTGTACCCCAGCTTTTTACAGAAAAAAGAATAAAAGGTCAATGCTGTTTTTTATTTAAACACTTAAACAAGAGTCCTAATAGTCTTTTAAACAGGTAGTGGTAATTTTTGGGGGTTTGAAGATTGTTTTAGTTGTACATTAAAAGCTGTTTAGGGCCATGATGTGCCCATGGAGAGTTAAGGACTGTGGGACAAAAGTCTGCAATCATCCTCAAAAGAAATGCAGTGAGTGGTTCAGTTCTTATTTGATGAAAAGTTAACTTGATAAGTTGGCTATATTTTATTTTAAACAAGAGGCCACTGATCCAAAGACCAGCGACTAACAAAGCTCTTTTGTTATCTTCTACGTCCTGTTAAAAATGTAGACGCTCCCTGACAAATTTTTTTTTTTTTTTTTTTAAGGGCAAATCCAAATATAACTAATATAAGTTAAATGTGTTTCCAGTTGCAACATCAGGCAGACCTGCATTAGCAAAGCTTTGTGACACAAGCTTCGTCTTTTTAGGAGCAGCACTGTCTGGACACATTGCAGTGCCTTGCCAGCACCTTAATGCACATGTTGGTGATGTATTGAAGGCTGCGGGTTGACTTATGTTAGAATGAATCAAAATAAACTACCTGATGAAGGAACATGTCACACAGTGTAATGGTGCAGCTCCATGATGAGGCCCTGCATTTACCAAACTTACTGAAATAGGCTATTTTGAGAGGAATAGAACTAGCCTTAAAACTAGAAACAGGTAATTTCTTTAGATTTATTTCAATTGGTTCTACAGGACAACTATCGTCGTATTTAATCCACGACAGTAAAGAAAAGATATTGACAATCGGAAAAATACAAAGAAACCACAAATGTTTCTAATTACACAACTTTTGTATAATATATAAACGTAATATAATTTTTTTTTGTCTCTTCGGTGATTTCTTTTTTAAGGTGTCACAGCTTAGGTGACAACTAATTTTCACGTTTTCTTACATCAGCCCTACAATCCATTTAGACTTGATTGAGTACTTTTTAATCAGATGACAGTCTCTCAACTCTTACAATTACGAGTTACCTCACGATGCCCCAGTTGTCATAACTCTATCACAGCTCAGCATCTCCCGCTAACCACTAAGTCTTTCAGTGACACTAGTCCGAGCCAGAGCTGACATTCTACACTGACATCTCCTGTCAAAACATGGCAACTTTCAGTTTGCCCAGAGAGCTGGATTTATGAGACCATAGCATGAAAAAAGCAGGGATCTCCCAGATAAAAACTGGGGGTGGGTCAGAGGGTGAAGTATCCCATCTGATTTATTTACTAGTGGAGACCTGCTGGATTTCTCCCATGCATTTCTCAGCTATGCCCCTGTTATGACAGCCAGTCTGCAAATATTTGCTGATACTAACCAGAACTAAACAGTGTCATTGTACAAGTCTATGATTTAGACTGCACAGTTCAGCAGAATATGTGAGTGTTAGACACTAGGATATACATGGTGCAGTTGTTTGCATTCCTGATAACCGACTCGGCATGCATGTGTGAGCTGATGTGCAGATGAGTTGTGTTGTTGGTGAGATGCTATCAATGTGCAGTATGACAGCGACCATGTCAGGCATGAGCGCAACTTTTTGTTTCTGCCTAATTTTTCAGATTTTACACGAAAGCTTTGTGCCAATCATGTTTTTGGGCGATTTGGATTCTGGTCAGGGCAACAGGTGAAGTCTGATCACTTTAATTTGAAGGGATTGAAAGTTTTGTAGAATACGTAACAGATTTTTCATTAAATTATCTTGATTTTTAAAATAAGCGTGTCACTATTTTAAACAACAGCAATAGTTAAGGCCTAAGGTTCCAACAGCAAATGATACATTTTCAGTTTAGTTAATCTCTTTATGCTACAGCTCTCTGTGTCATTTTTTTTTTTCTTTTGCAAAATTGAGCTTATAGTGAGCCCTCAAAACATGACGACAGGGCTCTTTTCATGGTCAACCGTTGACATTTCTTTCATTACAAATGAAGAGCAGACAACACAAGATGAAAACAAAACATATCCATCCAGAAAAAGACTATACATTTCTACATGCACTGTCAGACTGACTTGATGACGTTGAAAAATCTCCCCTTACAAATTGTATCTCCATGCAACGCAGTAACCTCCTACTAAGTTTCTGTGGAGCTTTAGCTGATAAATCTCTGATGTCATCAGGCGGTATACTTTCCAAAAACTGTCGTACTCCAATCACAGCTCGACAGTGTTTGATGCTCTTGAGTGGATTTTAAAGTGGTGCATGTGTGGCCAGTTAATGCAGTTTTATACCTTGTCATGCATGAATTTGCGTAGAACAAGCATGAAGAAGAGGAGATCCAATTTTGCTGTGGCGAATTCTTCCAAAATTCCGCTGAAATAAACAGTGTGGAGTTTTAACATAACGTGCACACTCACCGCAGAGCTTTTTTAAACTCATGCTCACAGTTTTTTTTACATGAAATGGGAGAGATTACTGGAATCGCAGTGCTCATTGTACTTATCCGCTGTGTGTCAAGGCTTTTAAATAATTCAGCCTCGGCTAGGCACACACACGCTTTGCTATGGGCTCCTGTTTGCGGGTTGAGTGGGGCCGCTGACGGCTGATTAATCGACTGGGGCGGCCCACTCATGATAAGTGTGGCTAATGACCTGCTGAATAATTCACTGGGCCTTTGCTGGAGAGCAGATGGAAGGCCAAGCACATCCACAGACATGTTCAACAACAGACTCCAACACACTTAATTGTACACACATATGCATGTATTAAAATGTTCATGGGCAGATTCACACACACGCACTTCCAGTCTCCACACACACACCAGGGGTCCCATATCTCTTCGTCCCTCTCAGCTGCTGTTGACACCCAGGGTGCTTTATGTCAGCGCCACCCTTGCTCTCTGATACCACCATCCAATTCAGTCACTATCTAAACGAAAAAGAAAAAAAAATCCAGATATTTTTATTTTATCTCATCTCTCACTTGCTGTTAATTCTGAATTCATTCCGTTGAAATCTTTTTTTTCTTCTGTCTCCATGTGTTTTGTTGGAGCTTCTCAGTGTAGGATTTTATTGCAAACATCAATGTCTAGTCTTGGATCATTGGGCAGTTTAACACTTGTAGAATTGTTTTATGGATCTGATCACCTGCCTTAAATCATCTCTGAGCAGAACTTTGATGCTGAGGCCAGGTGTCTGTCCGCACCACAGGATCCCTGCTCCAAATGCTCTATCGTTTATGCGTTTTTACACTTGGAGGCATGCTCATGCTGACAATGGGAACATGGCAGGAATCATTCGGTGTGCTTCTGCTCTCCTCTTCAGTGACAGCGGCCAAATGCCTGCGTTTGATGTATTTGTGCATATCTTGTTGGGCCTGTGTTGGTTTGTGTTTCTGAGAGGTAGCAGTAGCCAGTGATTACACCCTGATTCCCCTGTGTCAGCACTGATAAGCAGGGCCAGGCTCTCTTTGATATGACCAGTGGTCTGTCAGAGCCCCGGTCTAAACTGACAGCTTATCTGCTTGCTGCTCTCCTCCCATCGCATGCTGGCCGAATGGGAAACGAACTCCACTTGCTCATACCACATCACAATAGGAAACATTTCATGTAGGGTCCTTAAAATATGGATGCACTAATACAAAAAAAAAAAAAACTATTTACAAATTTAATCTGGCTTCTAGTGATACTTTTTTGTTTTTTGACTTGTGAATAATAAGCATTCAGCAGTGCAGCTGTGTAAGAAGTACCTTCACACTACTTTTACTTTTGATAAAGAATAAGTGCATTGATATGTGGGTTTTTTTCTTTGGACTAATTAAACAAATGGACAAATTTGAGAGGACACTGATGGGGAGATGGAAACGTGCACATAGTCACAGATGATACCGAATGTAACATCTATATACCGACGTCACGGAAGATGGAATAATTGGAATTCTGAAGAGTACGGCAGCAACAAAACTGCTGAATAACCCGAAAAAGAAAGGGATTCTTTTACGTTTCTAACCCATAGAGATCACTAAAATGAACATCCACAACCATATAAAAAAATCTATTAATAATCTAAGTATACATTCTCACATGGAAATTATATTGTTGCTGTATATGTGATTCAATCTCAGTAAGTTAATAGAAATCAGTTGAAAATTGACAGTTTTTTCCAAATGTATCAGAGTGAGAAGCATTGCTGAAATCTCCTGGGACAGGCACACATTCATTTGGTTTTTCTTTGTTGCCTGGCAACAGCTAAGTTCATGATGTCACAGCATCAGCATGTGACACAGGGGAACCCTCAGAAGATAACATGAAAGAAAACTCACAACCTCTTCAAATATCTGGTATCTAAGGATGCACATTCAGGATTGCACCATGTGCAGGAATCTTCTTTTCTTCACTCTTAACACTTCACTCAGCCTGAACAATCTGATAGCCTATCTTTCCAAATGTGAAACATGATTTATCTTTTATATTTCTGCTGTGTACTTGTCAGTATTTAAAGATCCTCTACTTTAGTTTTCAGCATTGGTACATTTCCCATGATGATCAAGGAGAGCAATGGTTCATACTTTCTCTTGCTGGCTTTCTGTTTTAATTCTGTACATCATCTTAGATGGATCCTCTTTAAATTGTCTGGATTTGTGACCATCACAGACTTCACTTGGGCCTAGAAAAATCTGTTACATCCACTGGCAGGGTTACTGATTATCACGGCAGTTAAAAATGGTCAAAAGGACCATAAGAAATGTTTTATGTGTGAATATTTTTGAGTATGAATGTTTTTAGGACTTTGAGACCAGAGGCTTCTGTGTGCCCTCTTTGTTTCCCTGCTTCATAAGCAACATAATTATTTAAAACGTTATTTTGTCCATTAAGTGTCTGATTTCTTCTGCAATGACGTAAATGACAGAATTCTGGGTTCTCCTTAAGGTGAATTAAGACGTCAAGTTTGTTTCTTCTCTCTGCAGAAGTGTTGTCGTCGCACCCAAGAAAGTGGGCATGACGCCATCTCCAGGAGCGTCCAGCTCTGTGCCGACATCCACCGCTGCCTCTGTGTCGGGAGCAGCCGTGGAAAGCGTTGCCGTGGTGTCCTCTGGTGACGCGTCTCAGGGCACCTCCGCAGACTCCGCAGCTGGTGAGCACGGAAACCTCACACACAAACATCTTCGAGGGTATTGTCAAGCCGTAGTAGTGGGAGGGCAGTGCTAAGTCACAGCTTGGATGAGTCTGCTGAGAAAAAGTCAATATTTATTTAGAGAGTGTTCTCCTCGGTGTGCCTGCTGGAATAATGTTGTGTTAGGACAATGTAATCCACTTAGGACGGTGTTAAAACATTGGAGTAGTATTAACTGACTTCTTAAGGCTTAATTCATGTTTTATATATAAAAAGAATTAAAAAAGAGGACATAAAAAATATGTTCTTGCCCTTCAGGCCTCTATTGGGATTAAGCAGGCAGGAAAGAAGAAGGTGCATCCAGTAAACATTGTCAAAAGCTTATCCAGCCTGAAAATGTCCCCTGGACTTATCATGTAGAGCACACAAAACAATAATGCAGGAGAAGTTATTTATTTATTTAATTTGATTTCTGAGAGCATATATAAATTTTATATCTCTGAGTCAGAAGTGATTATAATCAGTTGGCAGTTTTGTCTGTTGTGAGCGTGTAGAATTGTAATGTTTTCTCTTCGAGGAGTCTTTATGTGTTCAAGAGAGGCGGGTTTGCCAAAAGTACAGCGTCAGTGTTTTGAAGATTGAGCCTGCATCTTTGTAAGCGTTGCACGCTTGTTATAAATTATGGTAACTTTTTGCCGTGTCCCATGGATGCCTGGAGTCGGTGAGCAGCGTTGAGTAAATATGCTTTGTGAGTGTGTGTTTTACGGGGCGGTGGGAGGACTAATGGAGACGTTCATTTACTCCTTTTTGTTTGAAGGAGCTACTTCAGCTCGAGAGGGATTCTCTCACCAGGCCCACATGGCGCTTTTTAACACCTTACGTACACACATGTACACACATTCCAGCACAAATTACACTGTCTGTCATTCCTGAAGAGTTATCCCTGCTATGAGACTGTCCTGGCTGGAAAAACAAGCCTGCTGAAACACCAGAGGAATCCCCCTCCTCCATATTCAGCTGGGCATTAGCTTATTTATGAGACACTGGGAAGAGAATTTACAGCCAGATCAATCACAAGTTGACTTTGTAGCTCGTGTGCCCCTGTCTCCAGAAATAAGTCATAAAGCACCTTTTAGTTGTACAATATAACAGTCACAAAAACATCCCAGAGGGGTAAATTGGTATGTATTGGCTTGATTATGATGGAGAAAAAACGACAAAAAGGTTGATGAGTTTTATCATTTAATCTTTGTTTGCACATGTATAAGTGAAAGAGTTTTTTATTATAAATACTTAATAAGCAGAAACTGTTTTAGATGAACATTTGTGTAAAAACGCAGTTCTGCTGTAGCTGACAGTGAAATATAATCATCCCCTCAGTGAATGAATAGTAAATTGATAAGACATATTGTGCTTAGAGTAGATCATTCCGCTATCTAACCATAAAATTATACTTTTACCCCCACTTGCCCTTTTCAGCCATAAATCTCCCTTTTTTATACATTTGAATGGAGACCATTGTGTTATTTCATAAGAGGCATGTTTCCGCACAGGTTTATGGTGCGACCCCGTTCCTGCAATGTATTGCTGTGTGTGTCTATGCACGTGTATCCGTGTGTGTGTGTTCTTGTCCAACATCCAGACTAATAACAGAGTTCTTTGGTTTCTCCCTGCAGCAGGCGGCCAGGTTCCAGCCAGCACTAGCCTGCCATCTGTCCCCCCACTCTCCCCTGTGACCCAGAACACAGCCCCCAATATGAGGTGATTCATCTTCTTTTCTCTGCTTCTCTATTGCATGCACATGCACTATCAGCTGTTTATGCACATGAGCTTACCCAATCTGTTTTTTTGCATATCCTCTTATGCAGATTTTGGGTTACATTTCTTATATTGTTCTAATTTCACATTTTCTCTTTTTCATCTTTTCATCTTAATTTTTTTTTGTTATAGATAAGTCTCTCTGGCTCATCATTTGCTGTCTGGATTATCCCCTCTTTTTCAGTATCTCAGAACGTCTAGAACATGCTCTGGAAAAGGCAGCTCCTCTGCTGAGGGAGATCTTTGTCGACTTTGCCCCCTTCCTCTCTCGCACCCTGCTGGGCAGTCACGGACAAGAGCTGCTCATTGAGGGCACCAGTGAGTTCATTATACACATTGAATTCACACAATTCATTACAGGTTTTTGTTTGTTTTTTTAAAAAAAAGGTCATTGCCTCCTGGTTTAGATGCAGTAACATATCAGGACTGTTAATCCTGGATTATGATGTGCTGCATTAGGCCAAGAGCTGAGTAGCTTTTCTGAAGATTTTCAGGTGGCCAGGTCATAGGCCAGGCCTCTAATAGCAGTGTTTGGGGTGTCTGCTGCCACCAAACAAAATGGAAAGTTGATTGATAGCTGCAGGGGAGGGTGTGTGTGTGTGTGTGTGTGTGTGCGCATTCTGGCCTGAATGCAATGCCGCATGAGTCTGAGTCATATGAAGAGCAACTAAAAAACCAAAGGCTTTCCCGGCTTTGCCCCGTCTGTGCCTCAGCAGCAGCCTTTGGACACCCTAGTGGCCCCCTGCCCTCTAAAAGCCCAGGGATTGCCTTCAGGGATCAATGGGGACATATGCTGGCCATGTCAGGCCTGTAATACAAGGCCCAAATATGTATTGGTTTACAGTAACATCATGTCGACTCATTAGGCTCATCAATACTATCTGCTCCCTTGCAGATGGCACAAGGTTAGGTTATCCCTGTTTGTGCAAGTATAAATGTCTGCATGTTTTTCCAGAATCACAGGAGCCTTTACTTGGTAAAAGACACTAAATTAATTCTGTGTCAATTGAATATCCCATTATGACTCCTTTGTGTGTTTGTGTCCTTCTCCAGGCCTGGTGTGTATGAAGTCCAGCAGCTCAGTGGTGGAGCTCGTCATGCTTCTGTGTTCTCAGGTAAGTCTGGCATCTTTTTTTTTTTCTTCTTTCCCCCATTCTGATTTATCAGACTCGCCTTGTGCACAGTAAATCCACAGCAGCCTTATCTTTCCTCCACCCCACCTTGTCTACCCCTCCACATTCAATCCTTTCACCTATATGGAGAACAGAGAAATCAGAGAAAAAGGCGTCTTCAACTCCAAATATTGGTTTGAGGGTCAAGGGTGGACGACCTGTCCACATCACCTTTGACCCATTGGCCGGCCCTTGTGGCCTGGACCAAACTGATGAGGAGGGATAATGTAGATTTGATGGTGCTTTGCATTGATTACCCCTCTCTCCTCCGTTGTCTTGTGGGTGTTTTGTTGCCAAGTTTATTTAGCCGCTGTCGGATTCATGAATACTAATTCTGGGATCAAAAGCAGGCGTGGGCTGTTCAATGATCAGGGTTGTCAATAGATCATTCCAGGATGGCTAGTTTCCATTAAGCGATGAAAAGAAAGTGATGGCTTTCTACAGTATGTGCCGAAAATAAAGCATGGTGTATTTTAGGTACGCTTTTAAATACATTAAATAAATGCTGCGTTTATTCAAGATTTAAGGAAATAAACAGCTGCCCTGAATATATGCTCTATTTGACACGGACAGCAGATATTAACTCCCCCGGGCTTTGTTTAGTTTAGATCTTAAAAAGAGTTTTCCAATACTAAAAAGTCTATATGATTAATGACACCTTTCACCTCTGTACTTTTTTTTATCAGCCTCATTTCCCAAAGAGTAAGTGTTTGCCATTTCTTTCCTCCACCTTTTTACTCCCATATGTTATTAGGTTCCCATTATATACTTTTCTTTGTCTTAAAAAGAAAAAAAAGGTCACACAGTCGGATTACACATCTGTTTGGAAGTCAGTGGCCGTGCACAGATTTTGGGCTAGTGGGACTCGAAAAGGGAATGTGAGCCCCGTAATGTCCAGAGACGAGGAATAGCAGGAGTGAAAGCAAGATAGAAAACCAAAGAGAGAAGAATGACAGGCCCTAATGCACCTATTTGTCATATCTGTCAGGGTGTTGTTTAATGCTAATCTAATCAAAGGCAGAATCTTGGTGATTGCTCCACTGCACAGCTCATGCCTCACTTCCCCCTTTGGTCCATAGCCCGAGCTATTTCTTCCTTTTCCCCAAGCTGCGAGCTATCCCACCCAATTTCCACAACACACACACGCAGACACTCTTCAAACTAGATGGCCAGGGATTGGCCAGCGTAGTGTTGATTGCTTCAATAAATCATCCAACCAAATTCTCTCACAGCTAATGCAAATGTAATTTTATTGTTGTGTGAAGGGAGGAGGCAGAGGGGAGGGGGGGGGTAGTTGGACTGATATGCTCCTTCTCACCAGGGAGAAGAGGAAAACAGGGACAGACTTTCCTCTGGGCTAAATTACAATGTATAATTATTTGTATGTTTGTTCTTCATGTGAGGCAGCAAGAGTCGGCCGGCACCGTGATTGATGGTGTTATTTAGTGAAGTTTGTAAGGCCCTCTGGCACAGGAAACACTCAATTCTCACGCAGGAAGTTCCTCTGTGGCCATCTTGAGACTTTTTCCTGCTTTCAAACCAGCCAGTGAATGAAGTAGATGGAGATGATTTTGATTGATTATTTTTCTCCCCTTTTTCTCTTTTTCCTTTTTGCCTCTCCACCCCCACACCCTCATCAGAGACGTGATGCGATACAATCTCTGAGAAATTTTAATTAATTTCCCAAGCTTTGAGATGGAGTGGAACCAGGGTTAAAGGTCAGGAGGCTGGGGACTCCAGAGCAGTTTTTAATCAGGGATCCTATGAAAGTTTCATTGGCAGACACATCAGCTTGGCATTGAGGAAGGGATTGTAAACCGCTGTTTGATGGTGCTTCTTTTAGACCGATGTACAACAGTGCTCCCAATTAAAGGACCATTTTGATCAGACGTTAACTGTTGGGGTGGCAAGCTGCCTTGTTCTCATCTGTAATATTGATCCTTGTGGACTTCTTAATATACAAAGTGAGGATTAATGATCATAAACTGTAGTTATCACAAAATAGTACAAGTAAAAATGGATGCCTTCAGACATCTGCTCCTTTTCTGTTGGTAATACACAAACAGCATATTTTAGGACTGCATTCTTTTATTGTTTGAGTTTTGTGTACAGTTTCTTGTTCAATCGTTTAGTCAAAATGGTCAAAGTAATCCTGTAGGATATTCATTTTTTTCTTCCACATGATTTTACATGAAAAACATCTGGTAAATCCATCTCCCAACAGATTTCATCAATGGGGAAATAGTGAAGCACTTCCGAACATTCATTATCAAAATGATTACATTTGAATAAGAGTTGAAAATCTTTTCAGATTTGGTCTGTTTACACAGCATTGTCGAACCAAAATTGCATTTATGCATGCACTTTCAGGGTTCTTTCTCTGGGATATCCTCTTTAAATAGATATTCTTTTCAATAAAATGTATATTAACTAATTATTTTCTCTCAGTTTCCAAATCATTTTGGTTCCCGTAAACAGCTTTTCCTCTGCTCTTTTTGTGCCCCTGATGACAGATTCCCTCATCCTCTTGCAGTTGTTTGCTCCTCTTCCCATATTTATGACCAGACAGTTTTTTTTGGGTGCAATGCTTACACCAGCTTCCACCCTAAACAGCTGATTAATAAGTAATGCAGTGGGATAAGAGAAAGGGCTTCCTCTGGTGCTTGCCGCCATCGGTCCAATGCTTTGAGAAATCATCTCATTGCGTACTGGGCAGTCTTCGTGTGCACAGCCCCATAAATCTTCTTGGTAGCTGCATTTGTGTCCTGTAGATCAGCCATTATTGTCCGGGTCCTGTGTCAGCCCATCCATTCTTCTCCCATTTATCAGAGATGCATCTTGGACTTGGAGTGGAAGGAAGTGAGAGACAGCTCTGTGGGCCTCTAGAAGGCGGCTTTCATTATAGTCAATACCAGGGGCCACATAGGTAGAAATGTGTGTAGATTCATGACCAAAACTTTGCGGATGGAAAAAAAGCAGAAAGGTTCCATTTTTATAAAACTGCTCTGTTACTAATACTTTTCTTTTTGTTTAGAGATATTGAATGCTTCATTTAAGGTTAAATAAAAAGGCCTTCTTTCAGATGCCATTGTTCTCATTTCAGAGATACTTTGCTGAATCGGTGTGGTTTCTCAGTGGTGGCCAGCTATACACATAGTCTGCTGTTTCTTTGATAAGCTGTGATTATGTCCCATTACCAGATCTTGGTGGACAGTTGGGTCAGGTACTGGACTGATTCTTAAAAAATTGGATGTTGTGAAACTTAGAAAACCAGCAAAACAAAGCTATTGATTTGGCTTCAGCAAAGGATCATGATTGGTATTACAATTTCCCAACCTTGACGACCTTTAAAGACAGAAAAACCAAGAGTAAAATCTATTCTACGTGCAGTCTTTTTCTTCCCAATTTGCAAATATATAACACATGGGTTTGTTTCCTGGACCAATGGTCATATTACAATTTCAAATCTTGCTAATGCTTCTTTCAGAAGGATGATTTACACATCTCTGTCATGCTGCAAGTCATTAACCAAACCGGGAGGCTCCAGATATAACCAACTGGTTGTTTGGTCTCAACCAGTGTCTTGTTAACTTTTGGAAGGATCTCCATCTTTTATTTGGGCAAACAGCATTTTTTTTTTTTTTTTTGTGACGACCGATGTAGATGATCCCTTATTGTGATTCAATAACATCAGTGTTAACTCCACTAATCCAATTACCTTTTGAATCATATGTTCCCAGCCAGTTTTACCAGAGCTAACCTGTTTAACAGATGGCCACCTCTTTCCTAGTCAGCAGGGAGAGAGACATTGACTTCCCCAAACACTTGGCTCCCTCTGACCCTTGACTCTCTGACCTGCAGGTTAGAAGTAGAGGGCAGTTGGGGCATGGAGGTTTAAACCCCTGTGGTCAGGGAGCAGGTCGTGAGTGTGCGGTCATCTCGCTTTCTGCACCGTCGATGCTACTATCTGAGAAACGGGGAAACAGTCCAAACGCTGTGTTGGAGAGCATTAAACAAGGGAAAAACTTCATTTGCAAATTGAACTGTACATTTTTTAAATATTTGATCCAAGTTTTCCCAAGTTGCCCTGCTAATGGTTTATATTGAAAGTTGTGCTGGCTGAAATGAGGCTTTAGTCATTCCTAACTGCCAGTGGCTATATTTCCTCTCCTCTCTCATACGTGATAGATCAAATGCAGACCATGTTGAATAAACCTCTTGGGGAGCTGAGGGAGAGGTGAGAGAAGTGGCAAGGAATGCGATGAAACCAGGGGACAAAAATACTCTCTCCTTCATTTTCCTCGCAGTCAGACTTACACCCCGCTGTGCAGTTAAACAGGCACGCAAGGTTCAAGATCAGTGAAAATCAAAGTGTTGTTTTCCCTCCCTCCCTGTCCGCCCTCGCCCTGTACGCCGCTCCCATGCCCCTTTACAGCCAGGCCACGCGGCCCAGTGCCCCATACCATCACGCTGTAAAGCTGCTTATTCTTTGAAAATATGTTCTCCTGTGAGACACAGAGAAAACACAGCAACACCAACTGGCACTTAATCCTGAAGACTCCCCATCGTTGGCAACTATGTAGCCGGAGAGGGGGGGGGCAGTGGGGATGTGTTGTGTTGGAGGAGTTGGGGTCAAGGAGGGCTTCCTGACAGGAAGTGAAGTCTCGCTGAGAAGAGAAAATCAGACAGGAGACTCCTAAAAATATTGAGTGGCTTTTAATTTGGCTCCCAGTCGCTTTTATGGCGAGCTGGCTTCAAGTGGCACGAATGGTTGGTTATTTATACGCAACATATAATCGTGTTTCAAATAAATGAATTTTTCCAGAGGCAGGCCTCTCCTCCTGGCAGGCTCTGTTAATGTGATGTTTTCTTACCTGACAGGTCCCTTGTTATAAGACCTTGGAATGTATTCTAATGTTTCTCCCCCGCCTATTCTCCGTCAGGCATCCCGCTGATAAGAATCAAGCCCTGGCGTCTTTGTACAGATTTGTAGTGGAAATTCATTTTCCTGCTTTTTTTTTTTTTTTTTTTAAATCTGGCAAAAGAGAGGTTCATATCTTGGACATGACTTACTTTAAAAAATGGGACACTAGAATCTAGCTCGTCCCAGTCATATCTTGGATGCCAAAACCTAGAAACTGTAGTGTGAATAAGAATATCTACTTATAGTATATAGTTGTACACAATTTTGACATGTGAAAATAATTTTAAATTGTTATCAGATAT